CCCAAGGTGCAACAGAACCGCCTGGAGGAGCTGCGTCACGGCCATCATAACCACCACGATCGTCACCNCGTTTTTGCCATGGAGCTGCAGCACCAGTAGGCCCACGTTGCCATGGCTTCATATCACCATCTGGTGGAGGACCCTGGTCGTAGCCACCAGGTCCAGCTTCGATACGTCGAGCAGCTTCCGGGTTTGCTGGGCCACCACCAGAGAGTTCTGCCATGAGTTGCTGCATTACATTAGTGAAGTTCTTTTGGTTTCAGTTTCAGGAAGGGAACATGACTTACATCGTACTCTCGATCGACAGCGTCCCCAGTGCCAATATGACCAGCGGTGGGACCAGGAGCTGCGCCAGGGCCATCATTGCGCCAGTTTGCGCCACGTTGCCTGTGAAAGGTTAGTATTTTCTCATTGTAGAAATAACGTAGCCATGCGGACCTATCTGGACAATCCCTAGCCATGTGCCCAGCATTTCCACAGACACGGCAGATGATATTTGCTGTGAAGTTTCTTTGCTCGGGACAGTCATATTTTCTGTGCCCAATTTGACCACAGTTTTGGCAGGCTTGGTTTTCGTCGTCTCGAAGAGTACCGTTCAGGGCGGCGAGCTCGCGAAGCTGATTGCGTTTCAGTTCGTTCTGGCCTTCGGGTATAGACGCGGCCTAGATTTGTTAGTGGGAGTACAATGTTTGGCTAAGGAAGGAACACTTACAGTCTCGATGATATTGTGAATGAGTTTCTTCGCCTTGTTAACCTTTTCCTCGGTATCGGCCATGATTAGACAATGAAGATCCTCTTCCTGGTTGCTAGTGTGAGCTGCGTCAGAACGGCCTTTTCCTTCCTTGACGGATCCTTTTCCACGGATAGCGATCTTGGCCTGCGATTCTGTTTCCATTTTCTTCAGAGTGTTTCCACGAGGCCCGATAAGTAAACCAACTTTAGTAAAACGCAAGCTAAGTGTTAGTGTATGATCAAAAGCTAATAGCAAAAATGGTGAGTGACAGCAAGGTTAGTGATGACAATGAGCAGCGTCGTTTAAAAGCTGCGCAGCGTCACACGATAAATGAAAATGGGGGATATTTGAAATAAAGGTTAGAAGGGCTAGGGGGGTTAGCAATCATACTGAAGTTAATCTCTGGATAATCATTGACAGGCACATAAACTTTCTCCTGCGTCTTAGTTGGACGACGATAGTCCTGCGGTGGGTGATAGTTAGGAATGACTTTCATAGCCTTTTCAATCAACTTGTGGCGCTCGTCTTCGAGGCGCTTGCGATAACGGAACTCTCTTGTATTAACACGGCGACCGAAGTTGTCATACTGAGGTGGAGGAGAAGGTGATCTGAGTCTGTTAATGTCAAAGCCTTGATGTGAACGGGGAATCACCGACCTATCTCCATCTGCTGGAACCACATCATCGATTCGTAGCTTTTGACTGATTTCCTCAATACGCAAATGAAGCGTGTATGCCTCGAGCTGTTCGCTTGTCATGTTGGCCATAATAGCCGTTGGGAGGCCCATCAATCCTGCAGCCTTATTCTCAGTAGCATCGCCCCAACGATTTCTCTTCTTGCGACGGCGCGATCCATCGTCCGCAATCTCTTCTTTGGCTGAGGTAAAGTTAGCATGAAAGGTATCTGGGTCGAGAGTAGAGTGGAATCACGTACCTCGAACTGGGCTGCGACCACGTTTGTAAGATGGGGCATCGCCATTTCCGCTCGGTTGTGTAGGATTGTAGCCTCCATCGTCGCGAGAAGGAGAGGCGCTTTCGCCGCCGAATCTACGACGGTTGCCCAAAGGGATGTTGTTCGATCCTGTACTTCCTTGTTGTCTCCACGCCATCTTGTAAGATATCGGGCGGATGCTTGTCTTCGAGAAAAAAGAGGTTTTCGAAGTGTGGTGGGTAGGAAGGAGACGAGCTGGAGCGATTGCAGTAATGGAAATCATCAAGTTCCCTAGAGCGGCTTAGCTTCGACACGGACTGTGCACTGCCAGCACGTGATTGTGTATGTTTCCATCCAAATTGCAGCAGGTGCGTCTTACTCTATTGATGATCTTCAACGATTTCCAATTTTGAGCTTATATGTGTCTATCTTATCCACCACTTATTCTCTAGAGTCCAAGGGTGGGAGAGTAATGTAGGGGAACTGGATAAGGTGATTCTGACTTCTCCCACTCCTTTTTGCTGATCTGCAATTTCTCCCGAGCCATCAACCATCTTCGAGGCCGATAAACGAGTCAAAACGATGAAGTAAAAGCATCTTCCTGCATACTACGGCTTATCGGACTTGTCGTTTCTTCATTTCTTACACTTATACAATAACAGCAGTCAGACCCTGGATTGAGGGACACTCCCATTTTGCACAGTGGCCTATTCTGCGACAGAAGACCACGATGTGTTGCTTTCTTTGAAAGGCTACCTCTAGACACTCTGTCTGTACATATCGCCGCCGTGCTATCTTTGGCAATGGAAAATGACGTCTTAATAATTACAATACAGGCTGTAAGATCGTCCCGCGCTATTTATACAGCGTCTTAATAATTACAATACAGGCTGTAAGATCGTCCCGCGCTATTTATACAGCGAGCAACTGTTCGCGTCACATAATGTCCAAAGCATTCTCAACAACTTGGTGGGATTCGGTTCTATACAGTCAACTCGAACACCAAAGCTGGGGCTTCCTCACTGGACCTGAGCGTATAACCTATGTCCAAGGCATCATCTTGAAATCGAGAACAATGTTGAATTTCGGGTGCATAGTTGGGGAGGGTTTTACGCTTGCAGACTATGTCTGCGCACAGCTTCCAGATGCTCGAGGGAAATATCTTTCTCAAATTAGAACAACCCAAGGTGCTATCATGTCTTCTTTCCAACAGTTCATACCACGACGTGGGAAGATCATTTGGTTGCGCTTGTCGAGTCACTGCAAGCACATACTATAACTTTCCGGTCATGTTGCCATTACTAGTCTTGCAATTCAACAAGTTATACTACTATCTACATGGAATACGAACTCGTAGCAGGTCAACGGGAGACACCATGGAATTTTACCGCTTACAGGCACTCCTCGGCAGAGAACAAGCAAGATCACTACTAAAGACAAGCTTGGTTGTGCGTTGATCTACTTCGCGCTCTCAACATAATGTCACATGGATTAAAACCTAGGTATTCTGATCTCTGACCTTACCTAAATCCCGAGCTAGGTAGGTTGTAGTCGTCACGCCCTTTCATGATTGCTAAGCAACTTAACTCCGATTGAGTAGATGCAGGTGGGGTGCATTGGATCCTTCCTTCCACCACTTTAATCAGCCTTTGAGAATCTCATTCTTTCTTCCTTCTAATGACATCTCGTCTCATACAATTAACAAAACAATTAAAGATGGCTAGAACTCCAGATATTCACCTTTACACCACCCAAACTCCTAATGGCATCAAGATATCCATCACTCTCGAGGAGCTTGGATTGCCGTATAAAGTCACGAAAATCGACATCACAAAGGATACCCAGAAAGAGCCATGGTTTCTAGCAATCAACCCCAACGGACGGATTCCAGCGTTGACGGACACTTTCAAGGACGGAAAGCAGATCAACCTTTTCGAGTCCGGTGGTATTCAGCAGTATCTTGTCGATGAGTACGACACCGACTATAAGATTTCCTATCCGAAAGGAACAAGAGAATACTATGAAATGATCAACTGGGTGAGTTACTCGATATCCCCTCATTTCGTCATTGGCAGGTGGGGGTTTCGGGGGAATATCGGCTTCTCGATACATACGTAGGAAATGAATGAGTTGTATTGTATTGCCAGGAGTAGTGGTAGCATGAATTTTTGAAGCCGGTAACTGATCAATATGTGCAGCTTTTCTTTTTGAATGCCGGAGTTGGTCCTATGCAGGGACAAGCAAACCACTTCTCGAGATATGCTCCAGAGCACAGTTAGTATCTGACCCCTACGTCAACAATACAACGGAGTGAATGCCCGCGATATCAGCATCTCAAAATAACGCTTAGTCTGAGGCTAATACTTGTAACAGTTGAATACGGTGTCAAGCGCTACACAAACGAGACGCGCCGTCTTTATGGTGTCTTAAACACTCACCTTGAGAAGTCAACTTCGGGCTACTTGGTCGGAGATAAGTGTACTATCGCAGATATTGCACATGTATGTCTTTTTTCTTTTGCAACTTTACTTTGTATAAGATGTCGCTGATCTTGTTTAGTGGGGCTGGGTTGCTTCTGCCGGATGGGCTGGTGTCGAAATCAATGAATTTCCTGCCTTGAAGAAGTGGGAAGAACAAATGGCCGCCCGCCCTGCCCTCGAGAAAGGTCGCCACGTGCCATCTCCCCACACTATCAAAGAGACCTTGAAGGATCCAGAGAAGATGAAGGCGATTGCAGAGTCAAGCAAGGCGTGGATCCAATCCGGCATGGCTGCCGATGCTAAGAAGAAATGAATACGTGTGTGAATTTTCAAGGGAGAGTATGCGGAGATGATGTACTAAATGTCTAAAGCAATACATAAATAAGGTCTTGCTTTCTAGCAATTTGAGATGTGATAATAGCTAGGGAGTATCCTATCAGTCTTGCAATGCACTGGTGTAAAGTCACCATAAATTTATGAATGAGAATAAGTTTTTATTCCAGCCAACCTGGTACAAGCCACGAGTTTCTCACTTACGTTTACGGGAGCGTTTCTGTACATATCGTGCCCAACTAGACTTAGCAACACATTTCGAAGTATCCGCAAGGTTTCATCTAATGTAATTTTATCTAAGAGGTGCAGCTATATAGCCAAACACTGATTTGGATGCGCATGCAGAAAGTCAAAGGCATGCAAGACACCCGCGGCATGAGACAGGCCCGCAAGAATGACCATGATATGCAACCACTGATGGCTCGCTCCGAATATGTCGAATGTCCTCTTGAACCACCGCTCAGGGAACTAAAAGCACACAGTAAGCACCGTTCTGTCCAGTTCAGAGTGATAATCCAGCCAAATTCTCATTACCTTTATCGCATATGCTGTGGCGCCTGTCGAGTTGAATGCCAAAGTTATGAAAACCCATTTCAGACCCATTCGCTGGCTTTGAAGTGGCCATCCGTACTTGATGACGCCATGAATCACTGGTAGGATGGATGAGAGTGCAAAGCTTCCGAAACTCGCTGCGCGGTATGGTCGTAGGAACGGTTCGCTGAATCGTGGTTGGAAAGTGACGAATGAGCAGGCGAGAGCAAAGGCTGATGACTATTGGAGGTTGTCAGTTGATTTCATAGGAGGGATGAGAGAGTTGGAACTCATACAAGCGACCAATAGACCCATTGAAGTTTCTTATCACAGTAGAAGCCGTAATATATTAGAGGCACTGCAGCACCCCATATGAGTAAAATTACTCCTTGGAAATCAAGTTGCATGCCCAGCTTTTCTATTTTGGAACTGTGATTCATGATCGTATGAAATCTGTGTCAAATGTTAGAAGCCGTTTATCATCTTGGACAGGTCATGAGCTTACGTTGCGGATAACAGAAAGCACACAGCAACTCCGGCGAAATACATGGAACAGACACCTAAGTCAGCACTAGTCGCAACTTTGTATCGTGGTGATATCTCTTGTCTAAAGATATATATGGGCAGAAATATAAAGAGTAATGAGCCAAATATATGCGAGTATATGTTTACTATATATGAATGAGCCTTCGAATTTAACAAGATATTTGTCGGAGTTACGCTACCAGATTCATTATGGATATAACTCCAGCTGGCAAAGGATTTCTTCAATGATGCAGATGCAGGCCTATATTGTGTTAGGACTTCGTAGTCAAATATGGATTTTTTTGATTTGATCACTAACCGGTACCCCGTCTCGATGAAATGGTTGTCGTCCCTGTTGCTGGGTTTTAGCTGAATCCAATTTCCACTCGCGAGACTCGAACACGAATGCGATTGAGCATCTCTTTCAGGACTGGATGCTCACTGTCGCCAAGGCTCTACGAAGAGTTAATAAACATTTGCCAAAATAAAATAGATGGTTCTTACCAATCTCTTCCCATTTTTTAAGTTGCATCTTAGATTTTGGCCGATACTGTGTTGAATAGTTCCCAAGAATCGTATCGAGCGCTTCCGTAATCGGTGAAGGAAGCTTTCTGTTCCGTAGCACACCCATTTTGAGGCCTGCTCGTTGGTTGGTTAGTTAAAAATCAGAAACAAAGATCGAGATTCGTACCTGTACTAGGAAGATTCAACCAAGGTTCAAGAAATTGGGAGAAGAACGAAGACAAAAAAAAAGACTGAACAACGGCGATGTCGATTGATAGTTTCACCTTCTTTAACCCTTATTTTCTTCGATTTCAATGTATATCGAGTCTTTGACTATTAAACTCGACGTCGTTGGAAAATTCAATGTTGTTGGTTACCAACAACAGTACGGTTGAAAGGTCGCTTGAACTGGAGTGGCTGGAAACTCGCACTGTTCGCTGCACTCGGTTTCAGAAAATGCTATCCAAGGGCCGTGTACATTTCTTAATGTCGCGCATATTTAATTTTGATCATTTCGTGTGACTTAATCCAAAAATATCTGTGTCTACGACTTCGTGCATCGGAGATAGTAATGGGCCAGTCTGGTTCTCGAAATCGGACATGGGTGTGGGTAACATCAGAGTCATGACTAGATGTCACCCACTAAAAGCCGAAAAATGCATGAGTAATAATTGGGTATATAACATAAATCTGAACATCATTTGAAGTCCTTTACCCTTTGTAGCAGACTATCTCCTCAATAATTTCTGAAAACTGTTCGGCAAAAACATCCACAACACGAGACTCACAACAAAGAGACATCCTGATGCGAGAAACGGAAGTCCGGTCCTAATACCTCCAAGAGAAACTCCAAGCGAAAACAAGGAAGAGTATAACGGTCCAGAAATAGCATCGGCAACACTCTGAATCAGCCCTACAGCTGTGTAGACCATGGTGATGTTTTCAGGTGATATAACAGCTGTAAGAAGTGATCTAGTCAGAGGTCTCGCTCCATGACCGAGTGCGAATATTATGGTTCCTATTATTACAGATATTAGCGACTTACTTAATAACAGAAGAGAAAACTGTTCACTTACCCATGCGAGCGGCTGCGACTTGCGACGAAATACCTAAAAAGATCGCTCCTATGACGAGTAGCAAGCCGGAAAGTCGTGCTAATTTCAGGTCCTTCTCGTATCCCTGCTGTCGGAAGTACTTGATCATCAATTGACTTGCAGATGGGAGTATAATAATGAGCAGTGCAAGTTTTACAGCTGCATCAAGAGTAAGAAAAGAGTTTGCCTAATTATACACTGTGGTTAGAATTTGATGTGTTGAGGATTGATTCACGTGTATCTTACTTCAGAAAACTTGAGTTCAAATCGCTTCGACATATATATCAATACTACATCTTGGACGTCCATGCCCAGGCCATTTGCAAAGGCCAGTGTTAGGAGAAGAACAACATTTTTGTCTTTGAAAACACTTAGTAATCTATGATCTGGAAGCTTTAGAACGGATTTGATCATAGCCACGTTTGAAGCTGGAGGAGGTTCCATTTCTGATTCGTCGCTTGTCGAATAATCGCTATCCTGTAACAGCTCATACTCTTGCTCTTGATTTGCGACAAGGGTTTTGGTATTTGGCATGAAAAATACCAGGCCAGTGCCTAGAAACATTGTCGCGTTACCAAGATGCAATGGTATCCACACGTCGTGCTCCATAAGCAATGAACTGAAAAATGTGGAGAGCATCACGGCAATGAGCACTGCAGCTTCAAGTCCCAAGAAAATGATGACTCTACAATACATATTAGTTCTCTGTTTTGATAGCTCCCCGGTAATGAGGAGTACTTCTTACCGCGAGCTTTCGTCTGTTACATCCGCGAGTAATGTATATACCATCGTCTGAGCCACACTCATACCGCCGCCAATAATGGCAAAAGCAGAAGATAGCCAGATCATACGGACTGGGAATATATCCGGTCTCCAACCTAATGACTACTCAATAAGCTGCTCAGTAATAGGAAACAACCATAGCTTACAGACAATCTGATACCATGCAAATCCCAGAGAGAGCCCAAGTGCCGCTAGAGCAAGGACTGGTCTCTGGCCGTACTTCGTAGCTAGTAACCCATATGGGACAGCAAGTAAAACATCTGACGTATTTTTGATTAATTAAGTGCCATAAGCTGCAAATTCGAGAGCTTACTGGGGATTACATCTAACAATTGCTGGATCCCGTTAAGGTAAGCTAACTCGCTCTGAACAGGTCCTTCTTTACAACGCGGATCTTGCCCAGCGACCGAAATTGAGCCACCACCAGTGGAGTTGAACGGAGCTGATTGAATTAAATCTGGAAAATGTAGCTTGCAAATAATGGTCTCGATAATTTCCATTCGTGGTGCGATTTGAAGAAATGCGCCGCCATCAATAACGAAAGCCAAAGCGAAACAAAGCCCGACGACCCTCCAAAAATGTACATGGCGTTCCGTGGATTTTTCTCCTTCTCCTACTGACAGAAACCCGGAGGATCCTGTATCAGAGGTATCTATCATTTCGAGCGAAGCATTTATCGCAAGTGACAAGACTAAGAGAAAAATAGAAAGTGAAGTTGATGGTGAATAAAGGATACATGTCGCCCCTGAATAGCAATGGTGACATCGGCATTCACAGCCTCAGAATCCTTGCGCCAATTTATGCTGTGCTCCTCAAAGGGTTTGCAGGGGCTAACAGCCCGATTTTACGTTGTGATACAAAGAGGTCAGCTCGCTTAGCTCGTTTCAACCAATCACATTGTTTGGTGATGAATGGAAATGAGGGCTTTGAAGAGGAGATTATTGAGATTAAAAGTGCTCTCGTCGATATTAGAAACTAGGATGAAATAATACTGAGTATTTGTCCGAGAAATCGATCGAAAGACGTGGTGTTAATAATGCGAGAAGTTCTTTGTCACTTCCTGGTTGTGTGACCAGTATCCCGGTGTAGCTTATACATCCGTACATCCGCGGGTTCGCAATGCACTCTTTGCCTGCATAGATGAGATTCTATGGGACTAGATTTAACTTCATACTTGTATGAATCGTCGTCAAACAAACAATTATTGTCAACAACGTCTGTGTAGAAATGGAGAATATTGAGTGTTGCAGGAAGCCGTTAATCATAGTTGCTTTCATCACTAAGTGTTATTTTTGTATTCTTTGACTAGCCATCTTGATTCATAAGAAGTCTACTTCTGATAGATAGATGTGTTACATTAAAAAGCCGGCTTTTGGGGTATGTGACAATCTTCCCAGCTCAGAGCAACAAGAGTCTGAAGGCCAAGAAGAAACGTAGCAACCTAAGTTCTTGATTCATTGTTCTTGATTCATTCCGATCTTCTACTTTATGACTGACTTTAACAATCATCACTATGCAGTGTCATCCCCCAGCAGACATCGCTGGGTATTAATGTCTGATATTCAAACACTCATAATTATTAAGAAGTTATGTTTCATGTTCAACATAATTCAATATGTCGAGTAACCACAATCATAGCTGATATCTATTAGACAAAATTTGCTATGAGATAAACATTAACACTTTTGAACAATCTCAGGTGATTTACCGCTCAACTTCCACTCCAAAAAAAGAGTATAGAAGCTTGCGCTTCTTCCTCTCTTGATCTTTCGGACTTTCTTTCATCATTGTCAGGTCCAGCTCTAACAAGATTCCAAACACTTCATCAGTAACAAGTATCTGGCAATAGCCACTGGAAAGCGTCTCTCGCCTTCCATGCCGCCGAACCAACCTCGACGTCAACCTAAGAAGGCGAAAAAGCCTCGTCCAAGCAAATCCTCAGATACTCCAAAGGCAGACGACAAAGTCAGAGTTCAAGACGATTCTAGCGCCAATATTGGCTCTTCTGTGCCAGAAACTCGTCCGCAAGTTTCAGAAGGTTCGAAAGGCCAAGACGCAAAAGGTTTTCTAAGTACTGCAGCCCCCAGCATAACGGGAGTTATCGCGCCAGAACAAACCGGATCTGAAGTCTCCAACGAGATGTATAAACCAGGAAAATCCCCATTCGCGCCTCCAAACTTTTCCCAACAATGCCATTTCACGAAAATCGGCTACGCGTGTACCCATTCCGACTGGCAACGAGACCCTAAGATAACACACACAGGCTCTTGCAGAGCCGCCAGCCACACGTTGCTTTGCAACAACATGGCGAAAACGGCCAAGAAAGTTTGGAGTGATGATGCTTGTCCACAGTGCTGTAACGTAACGGCAACAAGAGCGAGTTCAAGTGTTGCATCAAGCTCCAACAAAAAAGACGCAATCATCAAGAGAATATCGGAACTAGAGAACGTCGGCAGTCAGCAAGTTTCAAAGAATCAATCTAATAAGCTTACTGCAGTTGGGTGCCAACATGGTTTGCAGTCTACCAACAAAAAAGTGGAAGTGAATGAAATGGCTACGGTTAGCGACTGGGGTCTCGAGCAAGCTCCTCCATTTCAATCTGCCGCTGTACCTACGACATCAAAAACCTCTGAAGCGGCTAAATTTCTGGAGAATTTCACGGACATACCACTCGATCTATTCTTACACCCCCCAAAATCCGAGACTTCGGAACTATCAGTGGACAAGCCTCTCGAGAAAATATCAGCGGCGAATACTTCTTCGAAGACCCAGCAAAAAAATCCATCTCAGGCACGATCGTTTGACGCCGATCCCGACTCTGAGGAATTCTCAGATACCGATTCGGAAGAGTATCGTATGGCTAAGGAACGAGAGTACTGGCTGTCGTTGCCGAGTGCTGAGAATGGTGGCGGACTTACCGACAAGCCTGCTGGGATCTTTGGCCGAATTTTTGGAACTTTCACAGGAAAGAAAACTAAGGCTGCCGAAGAGAAGAAAGATGCATCAGGCAGTACTGTTGGTAGCAAGTCGGAAAGTGATGAGGAGTCGTTCAATACTGCTCGAGAAGAATGGGTTCATGTCGCAAATAATAGGAAGTGAGGGAGGGCTGAAGAAATATGGATATTTGGCGTTTGGAGGCAGGAAATTCTAGAGTAAGTGAATGGATTCATGATGAAAGGTGGTAGAGTTTCTCTCCAATTGCGTTGTTTTACTTTCTGGTGCCACATCCTATTTACTGGCTAGGGATTCGTATAGTTCACAATAGCAAATACTCACACCTATCTTTCTCCGTCGATAGTCTTCTGGTAAGTAAATTATATGATTTTCACCATCACATTCCAAGGTGATATTTCGAATTAGGGTATTTTGGAGAACAGCAGCTGATCACTCGCTTATCTACGGGACGACTGTCCAGCAGCAAGCCCCAAAAGGTTGAGATAGAATCCTCCCTCAGAATATCAGGCCATTTCGTATTCACTAGTATTAAAATCCAATACGATATGATGCAATCCTAGGCAACAATGCAGAATTCATCATCTTGTGAGGTGAATTCTGGCCATAAGCGAAATTATGGCCAGTTGTTTATCTATTTCAATTCACTTTAAACCTGTTATCAAATGCTTCTAGGTTGCCTATTGGACCACAAGAGTCTCGCACTAATTTGCTAGCGTTGTTTTGATTTCGAGAAGCCCTATTTAATCTCGACCTCGCAGTCTCGACTTCTGAACTTCTACAACATTCGCAACACCCGAGCAGAACTTCTAGTATCTGCACCACATACGATCGTTTTATCGATCAAACCCTCTATCGGTGACTCTGAGTCACTGATTCTACTCGCAACAACTTTCAATCGCGAAAATGAATTCCAAAGTCCCGCCGAATTCACCTTCCAAAGAAGTCGACCCAAGCGCGTCACAGCCCGCACCTCCAAAGACCGCTCTGCCTGACTGGTATGTTGACTCAAACATGTCACAACCTATACGTCCGAGTAAACCTTTAATTGGAAGAGCTACTTATTCTGGCTGGTATCCTTCAAGCCCCTCACAATCTATATCTCCAAGTGGCGATCGATCTGCCTGGTGTCCCGAGCTTAACAACCCTCGCGGTTCCAACAATATCATCACAATCGCATCATCAAGCGGGAGAAATACTTTCGAAAAATACAACGATGAAGCTCTGATGGCTACGCAACTCCCAAACCCAAGAGAGTCTGACAAAAATGAAAACATGATATCCTCTGTGGTAGCTCAAGATGGATCAACTAAAGGAGAGGATAAAGCAGATGCAAATGAGTCTCCCGCAATTAGACGGAATCGTTTCTATTGTGAAAGACGCCCTCAAGCCGACCCTTCCGACTCTACGGAGGTTCCTGCATCAACTCCATCCACATCGTCGGCTGGCAACGCAGGAGATGATTGGCAAACCACCGCACCACGCGAGTATAACCGCAAAGTCGCCAGATGTACTGTGAGGCGACCAACACCAGCCGCGAAGCTCTCATCACAGCTGTCTGAACCACTCGAGACACAGCCTTGCAATGCACGGAGTGAGGTTTGTGAGCCAACTTTTAAAGAAGATAACTCGCAAGACATGTCCACCAAACCCCTCACGCCGGCACAGTTGAACTCTTGGGAACCTATGGTGCAGAGATCTAAGAATTCTTGTCCCGCCAAGTTTAATAGCACGACAGCTGCTCAGCCCGCCAGCCTGTCAGTCGACACGCCATCATCATCTACACTATCACCGCTTCTTTCCACAGAGACTCGAGCCTATCAGGCATACCTGAAGCACCACACAGCGGCACAACGACTAATCGGATTTGATTCTTCCCAACAGACTAGTCCACTTAGTCTCTCTGAATTTACCACTCGCCGAGCAGCAAACGGTGTGATGACCCATGAGAGTGAGAGTTTCACAGATGCTACTAACGACACTGCGATGAACTTGGAGGCAACTGGGAATGAAGCCAGTGGAGGGAGCTTTATGAGCCTCGACCGTTTGGTTCGGGAAACGAAGTCGAAAAGCAAACAAGCATCGACAGACTGGGAGAGTTTCAGATCACTTGCCTCCAAAACCCTGACTCGTCGCCCTGAGGATACAAAAACAACCGATCAGCAGTCCCGACCAGCATACGGAAGCAGTGAATGGGCTCAATCTTTGGAAGAAATCGACAGACTGGAGCAACAGACAGAGGCTCTTACGAATCGAATAGAAGATGTTTTGCAGACCGAAATTCAGAAGCTGAAATCGAGCATGCAAAAAGACAGCCAAGATATATACGGGGAAAGAGTAAATCAAGTCGAATCAGCCAAAGCAAAAATCTTGGAAAAGTTTCGTCAACCCGAAAAGCGAAGATCAAGTGGTTACACTGTAGCTGCTTGGGATGGTCCGAGGTCGTTGACAGAAGTTGTAAAGAACAAGGATCAAGCCGAACCGACAAAGCTCTCAGTGATTTCTTCAGAAACCGAACGGCAACAATTGGCTGCTTCCAAGGACCGTTCCGCCAAATCCGCCCATGCGAATAGAAAAGAGACTATTTTTGAGATGTCGCAACAACAAGCAGAAAAGAATAGGCTCGAGCGTTTAGAATACCAGCGAATGTACCAGCCCAAACTTGCAGAGGCAGGCGCGGGAGTTAGTGAAATCGAGCGACTCAAGGACCTGGGAATGGAAATAAAGATGTACGCAAACAACCCGGATGTATATCGAGTCAAAATGAGAAATATACAAGTCAAATCTCGGGTTTGCGTTGGTGATCGCATGGAGACTGAGGAAAGCCAGGCCAAACAACCACAACGAGAAGATGTCAACCAGGCTCTCGGACAAAAGAGATTGCGACCAGTAAAGACGCTTGATTCCGACGATACTGATGACATGCAATCTTCCTCCGAGGCGCGTGGCTTCAAGAAATATCAGAAACGTGGCGCTGATGACAGTCCAAAGACCGCTAATAAAGGTGCTGAGCGAAACGAAAATCGGGAGAGACAATCACAAAATCACGCATGTATGCCAATGATTTTTCTACCGAACATCAGACCACCAGCATCTTCAGCCGAGCTAGACAGAGACCTGTATATCCACGCAAAGCTCGCCGAATCCTGTCGCAAAGACCAGGAGGCCCAATTCGGAACATCCTTCTATTCCGCCGCAGCTGCTCCTAATGTCGATACCACAAAGCTGTCCTTGGACGAGAAAATCGAGAGGCTGGTACAGTTGAGATGTCAACAGCATGTCTACCGCCCAGAGTTGCATCGAGAAGAGGTGCAGCGTCTTAGACGAGATATGCGAGACAAGTATATCGGCATGGAGGCCCCCAAGAAGATGGCTGGCCCCAGCGAATACCAAAAATTACAGGTTCTAGCAAAGAAGTTGTTGCAAAAATACCTCCAGCGCCCGGAACTTTTTCAAAAAGAAAACGGTATCGCTGCTTCTAGTACCACTCACAGCGAGAATGATATCAAGATCGACGGCATCACCGACGAACAAGTGCAGAAAATGGACTTTATGATAAAAAAGTCGATGAAAAGAATCTTCCCTCGCCCGGAACTTTATCAAAAAGGATACCGTGCTGCTTCTAGTGATACTCGTGCAAATATGGACGGCGCCAGCGAGTTAGATGACGAGAAGATCGAGTCTCTTGCAAAGAGATTGGCGGTGAATTACTCTCTGGGTCAAAAGAGAGGTCGATTCATTCTTCCTACTTCTAGCAATCCTCGTCGCGAGCAAGTATTGAGAGATCTCAATCGAAAAAGAAACCAACAAATCATGAATGCCGTTCGCAGTAACATCCAGCGCAAGCGAAACGAGATGCTAGACGTCATCCGCTCTAACCAGCGCGCAATGGCACGGGCTGGAATCCCAGCTTACTCTGACGACTACACTGATACCGACTGGTCTGACTACGAAGACATGGATGATGTTGACCTTACCGTCGGTAGCACTTGGGGAGATGTATGTGATCATGCTGGATCCTACGTTCATTCGGCGGACGAGATTGCTGAGGCTGATAAGTGGGCTGAGTCTGTGGGATTGACTGTCGTCGATGGTGATACGAAGTCTGATATTGCAGTTTCCGGGAGCGTGAACGGGGATGTTGAGGATAAGGTTTTGCGATGGAAGGATACCTATGATAACAGTATTGGCGAGTTTTGGTATGGTCTTGCTGACGACGAGGACGAGGATTTGACGGTAAGTGATATTGAGGATGTGGAGATGGAGGAAGGAGGGGATTGGGATATGCTTTCTAGTGATTCTTCTTTTGATTTGATTGATGAGAGATAGGCGGAGTTGCTTTGTACATTTCGATAGTTGGGAGGAGATTGTGGTGGATTAGTTGGTATTTAGTTTGTAGGTAAGTCTTATTAGGGGTAAAACCTCAACCTTAAGTAAGAGGAAAAAATACAAGAGAATATTAGGAAATTAAGCATTCTATAATGTGACAGTCAGTAACATATAGAGAATCCTTTAAGTTGGTATTAGTGTTCTGCCAGACTGCTAGTCGAAAATCAATGAGTGTCCAGAAGTGTGACTTAGCGGCATTTAGGCAAACTCCGGATCTAAATCCACATGGAGGTCAACGACTAATTATTGACCTAGATGCACAGGAATGACCGTTCTTGGAAGGATGATATAAATCAGTTATACTGTACAACACCCTCACGAGATCGTTCTTACTTCCCTTCCCTTCCGCTATCAAAAACATATCATGCCACCACACATACAAGAAAAAAATCATCTCCTCAATTATTTACTATACATACAAACCTCCCCCCCCCCCCTCTGCAACTTCCCCTCAACTCCATGCATCCACTCAACTCCCCCACCCCATCCCCATAAACTATAGTACTTTAGTACCATCTCACTGTATATTCTTTCTTTCTTTCCCAACCTAACTCCCATCTCCCCCACTCTCTCCTCCCATAGGAGTCATTGGAGGAGACATGCAAAAAACGCCAGTTCATATCCATATCCGTATCCAGTATCTATGCCGCATGATCACAAACCTTTTTCTTCGCCTAGCCAATAGCTTCATCTCCGCTCGAGTTTAGAGAGATGCGCTTACTGCTGCATACTCTTCAAAAACCCATCCAAGTCAAAACTCTCCTCATACTGCTTATCATCCCACAGCTCGCCGAGATCATCCAGCCAGCCTTTCTTCCCCTTCTCCCTAACCTCACCGGTCGCATCAACCATATCCTCTTCCCGCTCTTCATTCTTGTTACCTTCGAGACTAGGAAGATCGGCCGTGTCGCCGAGGTTAAACAGGTCGAGGATCTGATCTGTTTCCATTGTTCCAAGACCCGCATTTTGTTGATTGACGACGGTGGATGCGACATCGATTTTGAAACGTTGAAGACTGTAGTGGGTTAGAAAGGGAGGGAAGAGGGGGAAGGGCTACTTACGACATGATTTTCTCTTCGAGAGTGCCGCGGGTGATGAGACGGTAGACGTTGACGACCTTCTTTTGACCAATACGATGTGCCCGATCCATAGCTTGTAAATCCTTCTGTGGGTTCCAATCATGTTCCACGAAGATGACAGTATCCGCTCCAGTCAAATTGAGACCAAGACCACCAACACTCGTAGTCAGTAGCAGACAGTCGTAAGATGGATCAGAGTTAAATTTGTTGACGATATCCTGACGTTTAGATGCGTCCACAGAACCATCCATACGTAAGTACTGCACGGATGGCAACATCTTTTTCAAGACATCATTCTGGACCATGTCAAGCATTTCCTTCATTTGGCAGAATATGAGGGCGCGGTGAGGAGAGACAAAGTTGGCTTCAGTTGTGAGATCGTTTTCGGAAGCTGGCTCGATTCCTATTCCGCAGTCCACCAGGAGATCGCGGAGTGCGGTCAGTTTGGGGGCATGAATAGGATCGCTGAGAGAGGTGCCTTGCTTTGCCAAGAGTCGTTGTGTCTCGACGTATTGCTTGTGACCTTCTTTCATTACCAAGGCAGGTGAGTTGCAAAGTTTGCGCATGTATTGAAGTGCTTGGAAAATATGTTGTTTTGCTTCCTTGTCACCTGCACTCGCCTTCTCTGCAAGCGTCTTGCCCTCTTTCTTGGTGAAGTCCTCGAAAAGCTTCTTCTGAAGGTCGCTGAGATCACAGTAATAGTTCTGAAGGATCTTTGGTGGAAGATCATCAAGAACTTCTTCTTTGAGACGACGAAGTAAGAAGGGTAGGACTTGTTTATGAAGAGCTTCAATGGCAAGGGCACCAGCTTCTTGTTCTTTGGAAGATGACTTGGAGAATCGACTTGCAGCGATGGGTTTGGCGAATCTGTCTAGGAACACTTTCTCCGCTCCCAGGAATCCAGGCATGAGGAAATCGAACAGTGACCATAATTCCAACACATTATTTTGGATGGGAGTTCCGGAAAGGATGAGGCGATGGTTGCTGAGAAGCCGTTTCACCGCAATTGTGACCTTGGCTCTTGGATTTTTGATGAGATGACCCTCGTCGAGGACTAGGTAATTCCAATTGAAAGGTGTCAAGACTTCCGCATCGTTTCGGCAGATATCATACGAAGTAATGACAATATCCGTCGACCCAAGCTTGTCTCTTAACCGTGCCCGATCGACGGGCGGCCCAACGTATGCTGTACAAGTGAGGAAGGGTGCGTAATGATTGATCTCTTGCTGCCAATGGCCAGACAATGTCGGAGGGCAGACAATAAGCGACGGTAATCTCCTAGCGTCAGGTGACTGTGTTTTGGCGAATTCTTCTGCTCGCAGATGGTGATCACTGGCAACAATGCACAGCGTCTGCAAAGTCTTTCCGAGACCCATATCGTCTAACTTATTAGCATATATTACAGGAAAATATCAAGGAGGTACCTACCACAAAGAATGCCGTGGAGATGATATTTGTTGAGGAAGTTGAGCCAATTGACACCTTCTTGCTGATATGATCGAAGCTCGGCCTTGATGGCAACAGGAATATGGAACGGTTCGACTTTGTGCGGATCCAGCAACTGAGCAATGAACGTTCGCTCACGATCACGACCTTTAAGTAACTCCTGAGAAAGCCCGGGTGGATCTGGGATACCAGCTTCGAGTGGTACGAGCTTGACAAGGGTTGCAAAGGTTGTCGTTGCAATGAGCCGTACATCATTATCAGAATCGCTCATACGACCAAGAACTGGAACAATGAGGAAAATGACATATGGTAATATCCCATCACCCATCACGCTGATCAAGTGATATACAGCTTCAATCGCACCCTGTCGGAAGTTCAGGTCCACTGGGTTGCTGATCGAGGGTAAAACTTTCTCAACCAACATGGTCATTCCTTCAACCGTGATAACAGAGCATACTGTAGCAAGACATTTCGCCGCCATGTATCGGAAAACCGACAACTCGGCGTGAAGAGCCTTGACAACCAATGGCAGAAGCTGCATGATGAAGGGATGAAGATCTTTGTGCATCGTAGGCGTGAGGGCTCTGAGAATCGACATGGCATCAATAGCAGATTGGCCAACTTCTTGATTTGGATCCTGGGCGTCCGCAGGGAGTTCTTCAGCGAAAGAGTGATGTAAAGGCTCTTCGATGATCGATCTCAAAGTTGGCACCTTTTGGAACAATTCGGCGCCAAAGATACCCGACAGCTGATCCAGAGCTTCCTTTGTACCCCTGCGTGTAATACGAGCTGCCTTCTGTTCCCTTGCAAATTTAACCGCGTCTGGATGATCTCTTCGATCCTCTTCCTTCCGTAGTGTTTGGATGTTGTCCTTGAACGCAGCATTTGGGGAAAATTCGGGGGTTTCCGAGGTTTCTTGACAACTGAATTTGGCCAAATTACCTACAACCTTTTGTGCGGGGCCAGAGCGACCCGTCTCCGCGAACAGCTCAACAAGTCGTGCGATGGATCCCGCAGACCGCTGTTGCAGCTCGACGTTGTCTTCCTTCTTCGCACTATCCATCATACCTTTGATGATGTGTGTGGGCTTCTTGGGTGCAAACTTCATCGCCACCAAAGCGCTCGCCGCAGCGGCTTTGATCCGGACATCTCGCTGCTCTTTGAACAGCTTGGCACTTTCGATGACTTCTACGACACCTTCCCTGGCTTCAGTCAAAGCTTGTGTGGCGATCAACCGTTGGCCAGCTGCCATCGCCTTCTTCAGGCGGTCAAAGTCATCACCAACAACCTTATCGGCCGTTTGTATTGAAAAGGCATCAGGTCCGGCTTCTGGCTCTCCTTGGACAACGACGGCGAGTGTCGGTAAGCGATGCTGAGACACCTTGCCTTGATCTCTGAAGGTGTTCAATAACTGGACACACTGCGCGCGAACCAGCTGTGTGTAGCTCACTAGATCTCGGTAATGCGCTGGTCGGTCTGACTCGATAATCTTGAGTAATGGCTCGATGAATCTTCTTGACTGATCCTTTGAAACACAGTTCTTGGCATATTCGTCGATAATCATAGATGCTGTGAGCTGAGTGGAGGAAAAGGCAGAAGTCATTGCCGGAATAATGCTGCCATCATATGCCTCAAGGACATGTACAGGAACAAGAGACATGATAAGTCCCATGGCTCTTGCAGCGGAGATACGAGATCTGATGAGAATCTCCATTCCGACCAAATCAACATCACCTTGCATCATGTGTCCATCCACATCATGTGAAGAAGTGGTTGGAGCGGGTTCCACGATCTTGGTGGATTTCCGCCTCTGCTTTTTGGGTGGTGGTGCAGCGGGACTTGGAGGCGATACGGGTCGGGTCGTGACCGGAACGACGCCGCTTGGCATAGTATATGTGCTGCCAGATGGCTTTTGGAAAAGCGTGGCATTCATAGGCAGAGGATGGCGAGAGACACCAATTGGGTGAAGTGTTAACTGCATGAGAGGGTCTATATGTGCTGAAAATTGCTCGGCGAGGTCTTCTGGGTCTTTGGCGAGATATGATACCAAGGCCTTCCAAACCTGCAATGAGAGATTTAATGTGTCTAGATTTCGCTCGACAAGGACGTTTTGGAATATTAATCGTAAAATTTTGCCGTTCAGCCAGTCTCGTGTGTGATCACCTTCAATATTGACAAAGGTCAAGAGTGCACGCAAGACGGCGGACCGGACTGAAGTAATGGTGTGTCGTAAAAAGGGGTATAATCGGGGGACGAGGAGGGCAAAGGACTGTTCCGAGTCTCGGGCAGCATTCTTCTTCATAGCTTCCAGGACCTCAGGAAAGCTGCAAAGTTTTGCTAAAAGATCCATGATCTGACCGGTGCTGGCACTGAGGTCGTCACCAAGATTTGAGAGGCATTCCCAAACGATGTTGATAAGGCCATCCAGAGCTTCTGGGCGTAAATTGACAAACTCTTTGGCGATAGGGATCAACGTCGCAGCACTGACTGAGCGAACATCATCGTCGAAATCACCGAGACCTTTCATGACAGCTTGAATTACGCCATCGATCAAGTCACTGTCTTTGAGTAACAGATCATTTCGTACCGCAACCAGATATCTCAGGCCGATCATGCCTCCATGGCAGACCGCCCATCCGGGTTTGTCAAGCTGAAGGTCGGTTTGCATGACCATTCGATATAAGACTCTGTGGACAGAGTAGACGCTACTAGCAGGAAGATGACTGAGGAGAGCTCCCAGGGTCTGACCAACCGTCTCTCTGATAGGCGCTACCACCGTGTCCGAGACATAGTCACCGAATCTGTCCAGCATAAAAACGCAACAAAGTCGACAAGCCAGATCGTCGAGCCAGCGCTGGTTGGCAGCATCATTCTGTGATCGGGGTTTTCCTGCTACACGACCTGCTCCACCACCATGAACACGAATAATCTCTCGCAGACCCATCGCAGCACCGTGCCGCGTCTCCCACTGGGGGTCGAAAAGATCTACCATGAGCAGCTCGCAGAGTCGATCAAAGGGCCACTCTCCGCCTTCCACTTCAGCGTCCGCCTGTAATTCCGATTTAATGGGCAAGACAGGTCCCTTGAATTCCGAGACGACCTTGGAATCTTCGTCCACCTCCTCTGTCCGCTCCATTGAGAAATAATCCGAGACACCGTTGGGGTCGTCCGCGATATCCGACATGGCCGTATCTGCATCGCTGCTACCAATGGTACTGGATCGACGAATAGACAAATCCACGAGTCGATTTTTGCTTCCAGCGTTCTGTGCCTCCCGCTTCCTCTTGCGCTTCAGTTGGTTGAGCTGTCTCGCACTCAGACCAGTCTCGTCTGGAGTCGCTCCTGGTTTCGAGGGCTTACTATCGCTATTGCTGTGTCCATTGGAAGTTTGCGGCGTTGGCGCGCCGTTTGGCTTGACCATATAGTCCAGATCCATGTCCTCTTCCAAATATTCTCCTAATAAACCCAATCTTCCCATTAGCGTCTTCTTCTGATGCGCCAGCCGCTGAGCTGGGTCCATTTGGGCCAGAACATAGTCCACTTCTTTGCCGCCCCCTCGCAGCAGTTCCTTTCCATACTTGAGAATCTTCGGTAGGTCTAGAGTGTCAAGACTCAATTGCCCCTCGGCCAGCGGTACTTCTTCGACCGGCTCTTCTTTTTTGATAGCGAAGCCATTTTGCTGTTCTTCTTTCTTCGTCTCTGACTTAGCCGAGCCATCTCCCGCGTTCGGGTCATATTTCTCTGCATTGTCACAGATGCCCCCTAACGCCTTGGCTGCGGCCGTCCGTGTCTCCCATGTCTTATGTCGAAGATATGGGACGACTCGGGTGAGTAGATTGAATAGCTCTTCGGGATGAGCTTTCTGTACATCAGCCAATTGCTGTGCGGCTGTGTTTCGGATTAGTGGTGTACTGCCTGTCTCTAATAGCCTGTGAAACCAGTCAGTATGTCGAAGGTCAACCAGATCAAACTACGGCCTCCACGGCAGTGGCCCTCGGAGAGCCAGCGGAGCGTCACCGGAAGCATGTTTGCCAATGAAGCAGCATCTTCTCATGTGGTGACGCTCCGCTGGCTCTCCGAGGGCCACTGCCGTGGAGGCCGCATTTGAGACGAAGTGGTGATGCGGTGGGAGGGAGGATGATACTCACGTGACAAGGCGATCAAGTCTGTAGCAACACGTGATGTTAGCGACCAGGAGCAATCCATCGGCGGGTCTCGCAGAGCTGAGGGGTCGGGGTCTCGGCTTACCTGGATGCCATCCTTTCTACGCGTCTTCCGCATTATCCTCTGATGGTGGTGCGGTGCGTCCAAGACGCCATACGATATCAGCCTTTGGTTCGGCTGGGGAATTGCGGCCTTATAAGTGCGCGGGAATAGGAATGCGAATGCGGTCAAGTCTACTTCTGGTCAAGGAAGTCGCGACATAGGGCTATTAAGCTTTGTTCACCAGCTGTCAATTATTGAGGGTCAGCCTTGTTTGCGTGGTGTGGACGAGGCTGCGAATGCTAGTGGCTGAATGCGATGCGATGCGCGAGGTGAAGATGAGTTATGGTATGGGTGACAGTGTTTACCTGGAAAATAAGGCGTGCACTGAGGCAGGATAGGCAGGATTCCTTGTGTGGGCGGACGAACCAGCGTTCGTGGCCGTGGCCGTGGCAAAAGACCGGTTCGGGTGTGGGTAGGTGAAAGGGTCCGTATGGGCGTATGGTGTCTGGCTTCTCAGCAAGCAGGCGCGATCCTCTTGTAATTATAGAGAAATCGCTGCTGGCAAGTCGTGGCCCACGCGCTAGCATAAGCGAACCCACATCCCTGTTGGCGCCACATTTGCGAGAGAAACTCCTTTCTGTGGACGCCGTGGACAGGGGTGGAGTCGATGAATTGAATGAGAATTCCGTTTGAAGATATCACTTGGAGAGGGTGGCATTCACTTGGAATAGATTTACCAACTGAGATGCGTTTTTCGATGTGGCCACGTCGGGGTGATCATGTAGATAAGCAGAGACCTATTCAGTGTCTAACACTATTTCTTAGCCCGGAATGTCCGGTCTGCACCCAGTCCTCTGGCACACGTCTCAAAGTCTCCAAGCAGCAACTTCGCTTTGGCAATAAGCATTGATCCTTACAACCCTAACACGTCGTAAGAAGCGGAAAGGGACGGTACATGTATCTTTGCGATCCGGATTATTGCATGCAAGAGACGGGCATTTTCTTAATTTTTTTATCAAGTTTTATCAAGTTTATGAATCCTTCTTAGCATGCAAAAATCACCCTAAAAGTCCCACTACACCGGTTAGACCTGATGTAATTTGTCGATCCCGCGTCGTCTTTAAACTTAGTCCAGCCGCACTGGACGACCGGGTTGGAGAAGGATGCAACTTTTGTTTTGGACTACCATCATGGCAATTCGACAAGTCGCCATTTGTGCGACCGCACATGATTCACTATATAAATCGATGCCTGTTCGATTACTCTTACATGACGTCGGCTTGTCTAGATTTTCAGCCAGTGAAAATAATTACTTTAGGTACATTGTAGTACTTTGTATGTTGCCTAGAAATTATACTCAGTCGCTGCTTCAAGCCAGTGGAAGCCTTGCGAGACGGGTGCACTTATTAGCTTATAATAGCGTTGACCGTATAATCTTCACCAAATGAGTTGTTTTTGGCATATTCAACGATAACCGCGCATATTTCCTGGTAGATCCGCCTGGGATGAGTGTTGACTGCTGCTCCTGTCGTAATTCCTCGTCAAACGAGGCTGTGGTTGGTGCCTCCGTCTCGACTAACAAGCAAACATGTGTCGATGAGTTTTGATGTGACAGACATAAATCTTTAGCAAGAGAAATCTTTGGAAACGTCTTTGCGACGTTCTAACTACAACAAATCTGATACTAAACTGGAGTATCTCAAGGTAGAACTGTGAGTCCTCTTCAAGAGATAAACACTATCCTTATATTGCTTCCTCTCAAAAGGACAACAATACAAATTCACAAGTCTGGACTCTGGCCTGCCTCAGCCCGACTGCCACTGCCACTGCATCTCCCCAGAAGCCGCTTCGCATTCTAGTCCGCATCCGGCCCTAGCGTACGAGGCGGAACCAGCTCCACAGCCGAACTGAACGGCCAACCTGAAGCCTTCCCGAGCCTTGAACATCAACCGCATTGCAACAGGTTGCTCGGAGATCCCTTTACGAGCTTCACGATTTACGCATTTTCATACTTCTCTACCGTCGGTATCGCATCTCTCGACGCTCTCGTTCCCACCCATCCAATGCGGTGATCAATTCCTCCCCCGCCCCTCCAACTTCTCCCTCTCGCTACTCTCCTCACATAATGGCATTCAACGGCGGCATGTCTGCTCCAGCACATCGACCGGCGGTGTTTGGGGGTTCAGCGCATCCGGCAGACCCCTCAGCGCCCGCAGGCACCTTCGCGCCGGGGACCAAGATTCAGGTCGGAAACCACAAGGTGGTGATTCAAAAGTACTTTTCCGAAGGGGGGTTCGCCCATGTCTACCTGGTCAAGATGCCCAAGCCGATCGATGGGACGGACATTGCTATTCTCAAGAGAGTCGCGGTACCGGACAAGGAAAACCTGGCGAATATGCGAACGGAGGTTGAGACGATGAAGAAACTCAAAGGGCACCGGCCGATTGTCACTTACTACGATTCGCACGCATCTCAGTTACAAGGTGGGGGTTACGAGGTGTTTTTGCTCATGGAGTTCTGCAATGGAGGTGGTCTTATTGATTTTATGAACACTCGATTGCAGAATCGATTGACGGAACCCGAGATCTTGAAGATCTTTTCCGACGTGGCAGAGGGCGTGGCTTGTATGCACTACCTCAGACCGCCATTACTACATCGCGATTTAAAGGTTGAGAATGTTCTCATATCATCTACCGGAAGTTCGAAACGTTTCAAGCTCTGCGATTTTGGATCAACCGCGCCACCGAGACCTGCCGCCACGACAGCGGGCGAATGTCGTTTGATAGAGGATGATGTTCAGAAACATACTACGCTACAGTACAGAAGTCCGGAGATGGTTGATGTATACCGCAAATTGCCAATCGACGAGAAGTCGGATATCTGGGCCCTAGGTGTTCTTTTGTATAAGCTGTGCTATTACACCACGCCATTTGAAGCCCAAGGGCAACTTGCCATTCTAAACGCGAGCTTCAAATTTCCGCATTATCCCCCATTTTCCGACAAGTTAAAGAAACTCATAGGTAGGTTTCATGTCGATTGGCTCACACATGTACTAATTTTCTAAGCTTCCATGTTGAAGGAGAACCCAAAATCTCGCCCAAACATTTATCAAGCATTACGTGAAGCTTGTCTGATGCAGGGCATTGAGGTTCCCATTCAAGATGTATGTAAAATCTGTAAACGCAAAATAATGGAGCTTACATTCGTAGATTTATGCCGGACGAACACAGTCAGAATCACGGCGGAACCAACAGTTACCATCACCAGAAGCACATGTAGCCTCGCCACCAACCGTGGGAGCAGTATTCTCTCCCCCAGCACAAGCGCAGCAAGTTATTCCAGATGTTGTGCCCATGAGAAGGGGCAGGCCAACAGCGGGAGGCTCCAGCCATGTTCCGAAGCCTAGTCCATCCCCAATGCGGGGTACCACCAGTGACCCGTTTGCTGCTCTCGATTCAAAGTCACCTACGATTCAAGTTGACGACATCTCATCCAGATTCCCAAGCTTGGATCAATTTTCTTTGCTCCATGATGGAGGCAAATTCGACTTTGAAGCCAACTCGCCCGCGAAACCAGCACCTTCTCGTGATATTAGCCAGCGGGTCACCGAGAAATTGGCTGATGATGCATTTGCTATGCCACCGCCGGCCAAAGCATCAACACCAAATGCTGCTACCAATGCAGCTGCCAGTGCTGTATCTCGTGCGCAGAAGATTATTTCCAAAAACCCAGAGTTGCAATCAGCCGCCTCACCTCAAACTGTATATCAACCAACACCAACTCGTCCACAAGCATCTTCATCATATGTTTCTCAAGGAACAATGACCAATCCAACATCCCCTCCATCTTCATTTCCCGCTCACTTTAATCCTTCCCCTGTTCACAGATTCAAACCTTCAGACCATCACAGATCTACAAGTCTCCCTCGAAATCAGGAGTCCAAACCAAAACCTCAACAATACTTGCATCCTGAGAATCAGAGTACCCCAACAGCGACACTTCCTCAACGACCTGGTCACACAAGACATGCGTCTTCATCACGTCCATCATTGGAAGGTGGCAGACCGACCGCTGATCAGCTGGATCCAATAACGAGGACAAAATCTAGCAACTCGAGACCTCGGCCCGCAAGTACATATCTGGAATCAAACATGGACTTTTTACGAGAAAAAGAAGCAGGTGGTCGATCATCCATGGATATGAGGAGAACAACGTCAAAGACGGGTGAAGTTGCAGTCGAAGATCAAAGTTCGGATGAGGAGACAAATATTGAATCGAATGTGGATTTCCTCAAGGCTATGGAGGACACTGAGTCTTCCAAAAAAGACCACCACCATCGGCGGAGTAGTTCCTCGAACAAGCATTCAAAACGGTCAAGCTTGCCCTCATTATCCGGTACAAAGAATCTGCTGGCTGGGAAGTTTGGAGATGCCTTTAAACGATTCGAAAGTAACACCAATGCACCACCGGGACCTCGAACGCCCAGCCCACTGCATGACCTCGATCGAAGAGATCTCACGCCAATCGCTGGATCTGAAGCGACGGATGGCCGCAGTGATGATGGGTATGCAGTCGAAGACATGGAGGGAATGGCACCAGAACAGCGGCGCGAAGCAGAGCGCCGAAGACTATCGATGGAAGAACGACGTGTCGCTAATGCAGCTGCCGAATACCGTAGACGTCTAGCTGAAAGAGGTCCATCAACAGCACCTAAATCCATCGGCGGTGTGTCACGCGCCGCCAGTATCCAGAACAAAGTCAAGAATCTCCTCGATGAAAACTCACAAGCCTCACCCAAAAAGACAGCAGAAGGCTACGGGCGGTTCACCGATCCAGGAAGCCCCCAGAGACTCGACCACTCCGTCACCTCACCCGCAAACCCATACCCCCGCCCCGCCGTCTCCCGCAAGCCCATCCTCCCAGGCACGCCCATTCATCCCCGCACCATGCCCACAACATCCGATCTCAGCTACCCGAAACCCCGACCCCAACCTCCCTCCTCCGCTCCCCCTACCATGTCCAAACCAAGCACCCTCTCCCGGCCTAACGCTCCTCCTAAACCCACACACCTTAATAGCGCAACCACAGGCAGCGGCATAGTGCGTGCAGCCTCCCCACCCAAGAGGGTGGAAGCTAGACCTGATATGAGTGCGCAGGAAAAGGAAGATTATCTGCTGGATTTCAGTAAGAGGTTTCCTAGTTTGAGTGGGATTGAGATGGTGGAGACGGATTTGGGGAGGGGGAGGGATGTGTAGTCCTCTTGGCCAAGTATGAGTCTCTGGATGTGAGAGTAGCATTTGAAAGGGATTCTTTGTGGTTATCCCGAATGGGGAGCATGATTGGATGAAGGGAGATGTGCATATAGATGTTTGGGGTTTTACATAGATGAGATGAGATGAAAGATGGGTGACGAGTTGAAAGGCGTAGATGTCATGCCTACATGATAGGAATTTATCCAATTGAAATATTATGGACTTAACCTGCCTACCTACTATCTCCATGAAATCCCTCTACACTACACTAAAAATCCCGAATGAAAATACCCTGATACAATTCAATGGATGTTCTACAAGAAGTATACGAACTTCGTCCCATACGTCTCAAACAGTCCTAAAAATCAGACTACTCAGGCACTTACCCTCCCGCAAACCTAGTGACCAAATATCTACGAATCGCCTCACCACTCACGTACATACACCCATTTCTCACGCTCACTGACACAACAGTTATTATTGTTAATCGACCAGACTTAATGTGCACATACCCAGCCCCTTGGGGTGTTTGTGTCCCTTATGCGCTGCTGCTGTTTCTCCCTTTCAAGTATCGTGTCGTATCATTCCGAGATCACAGCGTTCGATTTCACATACATATCCACAGATACCTGCCTCATCTAGGCAAAGAAAAAAGAAAAAGAAAAAAGAAGCGCGCCCTGTCTCTCTCGTGGCACATACGACATCCATAGGCATTTATACTCTTCTGTCAAGTTTTATTGTGAGATGAGCAGTGTAAGCAACGAGTAGAGTAGAGTAGAGTAGAGTAGAGTAGAGTAGAGTAGAGTAGAGTAGAGTAGTAACTCCTCCCCATCCTCTCCCCAACCCAACAATCACCTCCTCACAACCTCCTCTCCTCTCCTCTCCTCTCCTCATACCACTCACAATAATTCGCGTAAATTAACTAACATATTACCAAGGAAAAGGGTAATCCATCCGACGCCGAATAACCAATCAGCTGATTTACCCTCCTCATACTAATCGACCGCCATCTTACAGACTTAACTATCAAAAAGCGCCAAGAAAAACAAAGACGTATACATTAGTCTCAGAAATATCCCTTCCATTCTTACACTACAAAAACTACCCTTTTTGAAGAGGGGTATTAGAATTTAAATGACTTGGACGAATCATAAGGGGCGGTGCTGACTACTCACTCTATTCAAGGAGGTGGTCTACTACCTATACTCTACCCTACTCTACTCACGCTACTCACGCTACTCATGATTAGATTGAGTATTCCTTTCTTCCGCTGGAGATGAGTAGGATCGTTCAATTTCATATGTATTCAGGGGTATGTAAGTAAGCAAGTAATGCATCAGCGTCCTCAACTAGGTAAAAAGCGTGGCCTCTCCCTCTCTTATCACGTCCGTCATGTCATGTAATCAATCATACTAATACACCCACGACCCTCATAACCCGTACCCTTCAAACCCACGTCACTCATTACAACCTACCCCCAAACCAAACTGTAACACAAACTAAACAACAAACCTCTTCCCCCCCTCCACAAGCCCATCCATCAATTTAACAACACTAGTCCACTCAGGTGAAAACCTCTCCACCTCATCCAACGCCGGAATAACCCCCCTCTCATTAAAATCACTCCACATGCACACCACGCGTCCGCTCCTACCCTCCTCGCCCTTCCGTCTATTATCGCTAACCGGCCACTCGACATCGACCTTCCAGCTGCGATTCCAGTCGCGGTGCCAGAGTTTGATCTGATCACTACCTGATTCGGGCACGTCGGCCCATTTATCGTTGTTTTGGGCTGCGCCTTGGACTTTGAATTCAGAGAAGGGGTCGTCGAAGCGAATGACGCAGGCTTTGCTTTCGCGGGCGGAGATCTGGAATGTTGCTTTGTTCTCACCGGGGACGCGGGTTATATTGTAGGAGAGCCAGTCTTGGTAACCTTTCTCTGGAGGCACGCCAGGAGTCACATTGTTGACTACGTTCGGTGCAGGACCGTTGTAGGAACAAAATGTCAGACCGTCGCGGATATCTGGTCGGGTGGTGCAAGATATCTCTTGACCTGCCGCGGATGGTACGGTGGAAATGATCTCTCGAATATATGTCTCAAGGCCGGCGATGGTGACTTGATTGATACCAGTGTCAAGATCAACCGTCTGTTGAAAGTAGGCCTTGTAGCGATTTTGACCAGAGAAGGGGAAAGCTGTGAGGTTGTAGACAAGAGTACCAATGAAGACCAGGAATAGAAAGTTTGGAATCTGGTGAGTGATTCGGTGAGCGAAAGGCGCCACTGGTAGAAGTGCGAAGATCGAGAATAAAGCCACCACGAGGTATGGAAGTAAAAGAGGGCCTCCATCTGTGCCCGTCTGACAAAGCGCTGTGACAAGAAGGAACCCTACTTGGCCAACAACGATAAGGTTGAATGGCCCAAGAATCAAGAATTGAATAAGCCACGTCCAGGACGGAAGCCTAGCAGACCATTGCTGCTCTTCACCAAATGCATGATTGCCTTTCTCGTGGAATTCATCATGAGCGCCATCATTGTTGTCTGGGAGTGGTCTTCGGTAGGCACGAGAAAAGGTGGGCCCAATCGAAGAACGATGGCTTTCGCCGCTACCGACAAGAGGAGTCTCTTCTGTGGCTTCTTCTGGTGCCTCCGGATTTTCGTTGATACCATCATTCCCCAGGAGTCCTTCCGACCCGGGCAGAACATCAAGCCCATTTCTGATCTCGTGTTCGTCGTGTGCTTGATCAACAACCGAGCTTTTTGTTGGCAGGGCAAACATCTCGACCAAACTAATGAAGTTGGCAAGAAATATCGATGCAACATAAAATACAAATATGTAGCCACTGCTAATATGGAATCGGTCCTCGTAAACAGTAGCTGCAACCAGCACAGCCCATCCGATCAAGAACATCCACAAGAGAGCGTAACCACGGTGTAGTGCAGAGGGCCTGACAAAGTTGGCACCTGCCATGAGGAACCAATACACACAGAAGAACAAACTGGAAGACATCGTCCAAACTGCATATTGTGAGGAGTAGATGATCAGTGGGTTATACTTCACAACCAAGAAGGCGGCGCCAACGGTAACTGCTCCAGCTGCGATGAGAGCTATTGGGAACCTAGATGCACCCCGCCAGCCTTTCAAAGAGACCGCCTCACTCTCATGGCCAACTGGTTTGACTGATCCAGTGAAGAAGTAGAATTTGTCCTTCTTAACCAGGACGAATATGACAAGTAGTAAGATAAGTGGAGAAGCGATCAATAGTGTTAATGACCACGCGAAAAGTGTTCGAAGGGCGAAAACGGCAAAAAAGCTGCCGAATAGATCGAACCAAACTCCGTCAGATCCACGGCCGTTTTTGACTTTTCCATTTGCACCATCCCCACGAGGACCGGTAAATGTACTGCTGACATCCGATGTCAGATATCTCATAGTTTCCACGGAAGCCGATAGCATGTGCCATAGAGAGTCCTTGGAAGTATGCTTCGTGTCATCCTGATTGGTGTGATATCTAGCTCTTGGTTCCCAAAAGGCAACATCAAGTCCACGATAACCTTCGGCGCGGAAGATAACATAGTCCGTCTCACTTCTAACAAATCCCAACGAGAACCCATCGGCGCTGACGACAGTTCCAAAGGGGTGACGGGACGATGCATAAGCACGAGTGACTTCTGTGTCTGTGCTACGGAAAAGGGTAGCTCGACCTCCCGCTCCGGCACCTTCAAGGTTCAGGAAAGTATGAACGAACTTAGCCATCGGATGGGACAGAAAAGCTTTCGCTCCATAAAGCCCATCCTCTTCACCGTTGTTGAACAAGGCGACCACACCCTTCTTGGGCGTATTTCCAGGAGTGGTAAAGTATTTGATAAGCTGCAATGCCGTGATAACACCAACACCATCATCAGTAGCTCCAAAACCAGTTGAAACGCTGTCGAAATGAGCGTTGACCATTACACCACCTCTACCATGCATTTTGAGCGAGCGAAAGTCAGACGTATTCCACCACTTTCCTTCCTCGTCTTCCGTGCCCCGTATGTACACAATGACATTGCTTCCTTCGAAATATGTACTTATTCCGTTTCGTCTGCCGCTGGCACCGATTCTCGTGAGGGCGGTACTCGTGTAATTCGCTTGAAGATCGTTGAAGATTGTCACTGCAGGAACAGCAGCTCGCTTTCGCACTCGCTCGACCGCAGGTTCAAAGGTGCCAGACTCAGGTTGATATGTCCTCTCCTCCGTACCCATCAACGCGGCATCAACTTGCTTGGTGCCCCCACTACTGGTCTCTGAATCCCAACTGACATGGTTACTGTCCAATATGCTTTCCACTCTCTGCATAATCCAATTTCGTATTTCATCGTTCCTCCTGCTGTTGAAAGGGTGGTAGCCATCGGTCAACTGTGTAAGGTCGAGCCAGGCTTCGGTAAGGTTGAGTCCGCGATAGAGCGTAGGGTCTGAGGGAGCGGAAGGGACGGTTTCGTGTACGATGAGGAGAGGAATGAAGACTCCCAGATACACTATGACAGTAACAAAGGTCACTGCCATAGGTACGAATGAAAATGGCGCGGGGCACTTCATTGTGGAGGTTTGAGAGCTAGTTGTAGCTCATCGAAGACTGCGTAATCAGCAAGCCATTGAACGAAGGTGGGCTTGTCTGTTTCCGGGAAGAATCCTTTGCACGGAATGAAATCCTAGAATATGATGCTCAGTTGCGGTTGCCGTCAATAAAAAATAACTCTGATAGATAGTAAGGTGGATAGGCGCGAGGGTCTTGTCTTGGTGTTCAATGTCGACGTCGGCCGAGCTTCCAAGGCATGACGCGGGGTGCATTCTGGAGCTCCATTTCCCTGCCAACAGCCGACTCTATTGACTTCAATTTTCCAAATAGAGTAGATAACTATCTTATATTCTGAATTCACATTAAACTATCCTATATGATTAAAGCTGATTTTAGAGAACCTTGATTGTAATGTACATTCAAATATTCAATGACGATGGTCATTTGAAGGTCTCGAGCCGAGGCAGACAGGGGTAATTTACCTGAAGTTTTCTCTGCTACTCCAACTTCTCCTTTGAGTACATGCTACCTCGATTGATATCTCACAGTATTTCACCGGCACTAAACTTGCTATCCAGAAGAGCCATTCCTCGATGCCAACAAAAAGGCGTTCTTTTCGAAATTGATAGGATGTTGGATATCCGAACGGTATCGGTTTAGGTGGTAGGCTGGGAGCCTAAAACAACAACAGCTTATTATGTGGCTATGCCATACCGCATCTCCTTTCCAGGTTTCCAGTGAATGTGGATAAATTTCTTGAAGAGAGGCTTTCCAGGAAATCGAATGTTTCTCCTGCTTCCAATACTCAACTAAAATTTAACCACCATGGATCTATATATCGAGGCTTCAACACCGACTGAGACAGGTCCAATTCCAACATACACAATAGACCTTGATCTCCCGTCTCGCCAGCGCTATGTGCAGCTCGCAACAGACTTCGGTCCCAAAATGCGTGCTCTAGTTCCCTTACTTGATGAGGTGTTAGAGTGGCTACTTCCATTCAAGGCCCTCCGTCTTTTGTTCAAATATCTCGCATCGATCTTGCTACGACGAGTACATTCGGAAGAAGAGACAGAAGAGCTGAGAGGTATGTGTGATGTTACTGGGGTAGACATGTTTGTCTTTGTTGCCGTAAATGTGTTGCTTGACTCTATGCTGGGTTGTACTAGTGGAGCTGTTTTGGTTGAAGAAGATGGGCCGAGGCCTCCGACAATGATGCATTTTAGGACGCTAGATTGGGGAATGGATGGGTTGAGAAATCTACTTGTTACTTTGGAGTTTGTGAGATCAAAATCTCCTGAGCCCAAGAAGGTTATCGCGAGGTCAATTACATATGCTGGCTTCGTAGGCGTGTTGACCGGAGTCAGGTTTGTTTTCGCACTTATGCAACAGTATTTGGGCTAAACTTTTTCTAGAAAAGACCTCTCGGTATCTTTCAACTTTCGTGGGGTTCATAGATGTTCAAGTGCGCGTCTTCGCTATCACCAACTTCTTGTTCTCTTAGGCTTCCGTCCCTCAATAGCCTCATACCTCCGCAAGACTATGTTCCCAGAAGACCCTTCTGTCACGCTGGCCACAATTAGTTCAGGCTTGCAAAAAATAACGTCTTCGCCATGTTACATAATACTGTGTTCCGGTACGCAAACTGACGTGATAGAACGCGATCTCGTCACCTCACGGATCCGAAGCGATGATCAATTCATCGTCCATACAAACCACGACGAAACGATACCTTCTGTGTCTGTTTCGTCGATGGATGTCATAAAACCGGAGGCCCTTTATGTAGTAGCCGCCCTAAAAGAGTTCATGGAAGACTCCAAACATCGCGCGGTTTGTTTTGCTGATAGGTGGGCTGCTCTCAAGGGTTTGCGCGAAAACGCAATTAGCCAAGTAGAAAATGATTCGAAGCCAAAAGAAAACAAGATAAGTATGTCGATAGAACTTTTGGTGGAATGGGTAAAAACCTATCCCACTATGAATGAATGCTCGCATTTTGGTTGCATCTTGGATCCAAGCACTGGGACAGTCAAGATGTTGGAGAGGGAAGGGTTCGGTGATCCAGAGGACGTGACCGATGAAGATTCGGAGGATGATGAAGACGAGAATGAGGACGAAGACGAAGATCAAGATCAAGATAGAGTTGAAAAGGAGAATGCAGATGAAGTTGTAGATGAAAGGAAAGGTGATGATGATGAATATGTAGATGAAAGCGAGGGTAAGGATCAAGACTAGTAGATGTGGGCCGGAAATGGCACTAAAGTTCGTAAACTTGACCTTGCTTCATTAGGATCAACCAGATTTGTGTTTATCTTCTTGTCATATTAGGACCTACCCTCCTCTATACATGAGTAGTAGATTCATTCAGCTCTTGATGCTATGTTGTTGACTACGACCACTTTCTAGTCCTCGGCTCTTCAGTAGCACGACCAACAGCAATCCACAACCCACTCGTCTCCCTGACTACGCCTTTCTTCGCAAATCCTTTCCACACCTCCCTGAACATCTCCCGTGCCTCCTGCTGTCGTTCTTCACTCAACTGCTCGAACCATTTCGGCCTACTTTCCCCACAGTCCAGGACTAGATCTGCCTCATCAACACTCCATTCCCCTCTTTCTTCCACCGCCCAAGCACTTTAGTTCTCGCCGGTAACGTCCGCATTAAGTCTCTATCATCGTGGTCCACCGTTGCAACGTCTGTCTCCAACCCAGCCTCATCCAATAGCTTTCCCAAGCTATCAGGCGTCTTGATCCATCTTCTATCGCCCATCATACTCAGTCCCAAGCTGGGGAAAATCTCACTCAGAGCTCGGAGCCTAAGCATCGCACTCGTCGTGGGAACATCAACAACCAATCTACCACTTGGTTTTAAATAACTCGCCCAATGCTTCATCAAATCACCAAGCTTCTCAGCCGGGAACAAAACAAGCGCTGAACAAATCGTTACAATATCAAAGCTATATTGCAAACCGTCCAACTTCGGAATCGAGCTCAAATCTCCGATATCACCCTCCACAAACTCCACTCTCCTATCACCTTTGCTCCTTGCAACCTCTAACATACCTCTTGAGACATCAACGCCAATGATTCTTTGCCCCTTGTGAAAGTTTCCATGCTCATCAACGACATGCGGCAGCATCGCAGATGTTACAAGACCAGTCCCGCACGCAAGATCTAAAATGGAATCGTTTTGAACTGGTTTCGCGTATTCGACGAATAGATTGGCGAGATTGGTGTGATAAGGGGTGTGGCCATCGTAAGTCGCTGCTCGAGAATCATAATGGGCTGCTATAGAGACGGTCGTCATAATAATGCGTGGGAATGTTCGGGGAGTTTCCTTGAGGATAATGGCTTGCGAAATAATAGCAGGTCAAATATTATGAGGCACTAATGATAAGGAAAAACCTTCAACAACGCGTTTAATTATAACATTGCAAATAAGCGCGAGACAGCGGGAGATCGTCACGATGTAAGATGAAATGTCTCGATCGTGGCGTGACGTGGCACGACGGGTTGCCTCGTGGTTCTCGAAAGAGCAATGATGGACATGGAGAACGGGGAGGTGGTAGCCAACCAGAATATTTCACGATCTTAGAACCAACAAGGGCAAATTATACTATGTAGAATCTTAGAATATATATATATATATATATATATCGTGTCAGACGTGACGTGTCGTGAGTATTATAGTACTAATATACAAGAATAAAAATTAAAAGCTATAAAAATCCAGCTTATTTTTCTTTCCCCCCAGTTTCCCATGGAATCGAATATATCCACCCCAACCAGACACAAAGTCTTTTACATCGATTCAAAATTACCGCTTTCATATGACATGAGAGCGCGTTGAAGATGTGTTTATGCGTTGCGCCGTGTCCCAAAATCCTAATATCAAAAAAGCCGTGGGGGTATGTAGACGCCTGCCCAAAAACAAATCCCAGAATCAAATATCAAACACCAAATGTTGCACCCGCTTCTATATTTCAAAATCCAAATGTCCCGTATATACGCTTCGAAGTCCTCAAAAGATATCAAAAGTAAAGTCCCATCAGAGCAGTAGACTGCCCACTGCGAGTACCAATGCGATTAAGCCGTAATTCTGACCCACAACGGCGATTGTAGAGGCGCTAGAAGATACGGCAGCGGCGAGACTGGTGTTGGTAAAGGTAGGCCCGCAGTTGACGTTGACTTGCATGGCTGCATTTACGTAGTCTGATGAGAGTGCACTCGTTCGATCAGACGTTGCGGCGGAGTACACGGCCATGGTGTTTTGAAGACATGAATTGCAAGTCGGTCGACTGCCACCTGGAAGACTGATATTTAGGGGTAGATAGTAGAGGTAGTTGTCGGCTGGGTTGCTGGCATTGGTGATTGCTTCGGCGAAGCAGTAGGATTTGGTGTTTTGATTTTTGAGGCATGTTGCTGTGTATAAAGGTTTGTAGGCGAGGAGGCCGAGACGTGCTTGGTTGACGAGAGGGTTTCCGGCGGCCATGTCGCTTGAGCAGGCTGATGTCGAGGTGATGTTGCTTGCGAATGCAGACATCACTCTATCGCATGTTGTGACATTCGCACTACAGGATGCATCCAGGACTTGTGTAATGCGGACAAGCTGTTTCTGTGCTTGGAAAAATGACATGGAGTTCTAGGAGTATCGGTTAGTTTTCCCAGTGCTGAAGATTTATAATTTGGTAGGTGACTTACTTGGAGCAATACAGAAATCGGCAAGCATGAGGTGAAGGTAGAGTTTTGGAGCATATTAGCCATAAAGTTTGAACATGTTGCTGTGATATTTGAGTTGAAGCCAGTATCAAAGGCACTAGGTAGAGGAGAGGCGGCTTCGGTTGGTACCGCTATTAGCGCTGTACTTGTCGAGGGATCTCTAGATGAAGCTGCTGCAGTTTGCGAGCCTGGAGGCGTGATTGATTTGGTGACAGTGACCGTATCAGCTGGTGCGGGAGTTACAGTGGTCGTCTTTGGTGGAGGCGCATTTTGACCTAGCTCCTGCCGCCGTCGAAGATCATCTTGCACTTGTTGCTCCGGAACAAACGCCCAGTCTAGACCTTTTGGGTGTGGTGAAAGATCAACCAATATTTGTCCCGACTTGGCTAATTGATCGAAGACTGACCCTTCGTTTTCCGCAACAACTTGTCTTGGTGCAAGCATCTCCTCATCCAGATATACAGGTGCAAACGCTGAGCAAATAGGTAGACACCATATTAATAATAAAGAAGTTATCAGAATGTAATGCGATTTCGATGGTAGCGAACGAGGACGGCGACCTTGGTTGTGAGAATTAAAATGCGACGATGACTGTCCAGAAGCTCGAGAGCTATCTCTATTATGCCGCAAGCCGTTCTCCATTATTAAACACCGGATCCGAGATTGGTATTATGTATTGTATCGGATTGGTGTCTCTATAATCGTGGTTCCAGCATTACTTGGCTTTCAACGTGGACGTATCTTGTCCTTCGATGGCTGCCACGTCCGCCACGGACCCAGCGAAAATAGAAAGTGTCTTGAGTATTCTTGTCCCCAGTTTGAAGTTCGCTCTTCCACACTAAAACGTCTTCGATCGTGTTATGCGAAATGTTCCAGATCTCGAACAACAAAGTCGATTATTCTGTCTCGGTTCTCGTGCTTCGTGAGGTAGGTTCAAGGAGCTCGATATAGCTCTGCTGATGGACAATGGCAATTCCTGGCAAAAAATAAGGATCTGATGCTAAGTGAGGAGCTTGAAACAAAGGTAAACGAATGACTGTAGTTGGATCGAGAAGAGGGTCTTCTGCCGGGATAGGCGTCGTGGTGTTGACAGCTTATATCTTGGGTGGACTGACAAAGCTATTGGGGTCGGATGGCAGTACAGGCAGAATCGAGTCGCACATTAAACCGTCATATACACTGCACATACACAACACCGATATGCGGAGCCGTAAGAGAAGCGTCCATCACGATGATGGGCACGGCGGCCATTTTGTTCAAATAACCTTGGAACCTGCCTTGTGCATTTTCCTGGGCCTGGTTACTTGGTGAGCAAGCTTGGTCAATATTGGCGGGTCTTTAGGGGTGGAAGACCCGCAAAATACAGGGGAATATAGTGGTCGTCTTTGCATCTGGTTGTCCTTGCGCCCTGGGCGTGCACACTGGCGCAAGCGAGGCCATACAGCCCCCTTTTTGCCGGACGTTGGTCGCCCTCTTGCGCCTAATTCAAAGTATTGAACGCCACGAGTCTTTTATGCCGCATTGAACCAGGAAGACGATATCATCTTAGGCCTCATCGAGCCATCTGCAAGAAACTTCAACAGCCAGAAAGCAGCTGCACAGAACCATGGATGCTCCTAGTGGAACGCATAACTGATAGACTCGAAGGACTCCGCTACTCGTCAGCAGAGCACATCTCCCGAGAGATCAAGTCAAGGTTACTGCTGCAGCTACGACTTCACTGCTTGCATGCTGTCCTTTGGTTATTGCACACCAGGAAACACTTTGTACAACTATGCCGCAATCAGCCACGAGTATTCCCACTGTTGGGACATCTTCTGGCTTCGGTTCCGGAATCCGATTGCCCTCGAGCCTCGTCGGACTGTAAGCGACGTTGAACGGCGTCTTTCTCACAATGATCAGATTGCCATTTTGGGTCACAGCACCACGGAAAAGCTTCCAGATCGCCTCTGTGCCACGCGCTCTTTAGAGTCTCTACCTTGAAGACCCATAAATGAGCATCTAACAAATCCATGCCGAGATCAGAAGCGATGCACCTCCCCGAACATTAAATCTCCGTCTACTAGTTTAGATCAGGACCTTTCTGTGTCGGGCATAAAGGCTACTGTGGATCCGGCAACCTAACCTCTTAGGGAGAAATTAGACCAGAAGATTCGACTCTTCACTTTGCTAAAACGGTCGGCCGGCCAGCTTTGTTGTCGTCAACTAAAGTCAGAGACCTAGTGATAGATATCGAGGTCTTCGAACCTCTCACGACGCCAGATTTCTCTCTTTCTGTGACTTGTGGACGTATCCGGTCTGCCGGAGAGAAGACGTTGAGTTTGACACATCAGATACTCCGTATCAGCGCGTCCACTTGACTGAAACTTGATCGACCCCAAGTTCCCAAGCTCTCCTCTGTTTCCAACAGTGGTAAACTGCGGATGGCATCAAACACGATTTCGTTGTCTTACCCGGCCTGTGACCAAACGCTTCCGAAGACTCGTTTGAAAGAAAGTAGGAAGCCGATGGAGATGAGGTCCCGGCTGGATGGTCTGGTCATCTATTCTCTCATCCAAGATTGTCTAACACTTCTTCCTCCCTTTACCACCTTTTGACGCGAGCAAGTATGAGTGAATGTCTGCCATTGTCTGGGCAGTCAGATCGTGGTCTCTCACGGAAGCTTTCGGTACCCGACATTAGCACCAACTTTGTTCTGCATGCGGCCCGCGTGGTGTAAGTTTATATGACTCCACTCCTGAAGCCTCTTCATGCGGCTATCCATTCGTTCCTGTCTTTGAGGTTGTAGCAGACGTCAAGATACGCACACTCATCTAACTCATTCGCACAATTATGCACATTTTCCCCAAGTCTAGACTCTAGACGCTTGGATCGTCAAAAGAAATCCCACCGCCCTTCACGTGACCTCTGCAATCCTCTGTTCCACCATCCCCTACGAGTACTTCGCGACGTACCATTTTCCTAAATCGAGTTACCAACAGCATTCCATCAATTGCACCGCCATACTGTTTTCGATTCTCAGTCTCCAGGCCACTCATCTCACTTAATACAAGAAAGAAGGATTCAACAGTCAGACGCGACTCTGCAAGGTAATCACAAGGAACGACGCCCCAATTCTGACGGTGCCAAAATCTCACCCCATCGCGCCCTTTCGCGTTGCGATACGAATAGCAGAGCATCAGCGATATGGCCAACACGCCACCGTTCCTGGAGCAAGGCCAGTTCAATCGCCTCCAAAGATAAGATTTCGTCCTCCAACATTGCTGTGATGATGAGTTGACCGGAATCCTCAACGGTAGGACTCAGTATGGTTCACGACATTCTGTCCTGTAGGGGCCTAGAAGAGACACTTTGGTTGCAGATGACTAGCAATTGTCTGTCCAGATAAAGCATGCTTTTGTGCTCTTTCCTCCATTCTGGACTTCCTGTCTCCTATACTTCATTCCCAATCAACATTTTTCAGCCTACACAATCCACCAAATTTGGAGAGGCTATCAGATGCGAGTGCGTCGTGTCTCCATACTCTGTACCACTGTTGCTATATTGCTTTTCGTACTTGGGATCTCTACCCTTGTGGTGCCACCTGCATCACCTCCAATGCCTTTCTGGGTACCGTTGTGTTGGGTGTTGCGAAATTGGATGTTGGATTTTGAATGTTGGTGCAAGCAAAGTCACCTGTGTGGGACTGTGGATGATTTAGAGTTAATCTCTGTCGTACCAATTGCATGTCCGTGGGGGCTATCTATCCAAGATTGGCTCATGTTACTGGACATAATCTATCCTGAAAAGGGTCTTGGACAAGGAGGTTGATGAATATTGTCAAAATCTGGGTTTCTGAAATCTTTCTCATCCAGACGAGACAATGTATTGTCACCATTTCTCAATCCTGGATAACGTTGCGATCGATACCAGATCGCGAATCAGGTTGAACCTGCATATACACATGTTTCCTCCAGTGGACGAGTAATAAGTTTGACGCGTCACGTGCTCATACATCATTCGTTCAAGAAGGTCCCGTCTTTCTCAATTCTAGAAGCACACAAGAACAATGGAATCTATGCATCATATGTACTGAAGGTTTTATTCAAGGATTCTTTCCGTGGCATACTCTTCGATACGACTAAGCCGCTCTTAGCCTCCCGTCTGGCTGGGTTTTGGAAAATTTGGACCCAAAATTTTACGAGAGATTTTCACTTAGGGAGCACGACATCGACTTAAGTTGTCGCGTAGTGGGGCAAACCACAAGATATATCATCACTCTCACGGTTTTTCAGTACAATACGGCCATGCGCGATCCATATTCTCTTGGAACTTCTCGGCTCCTTCTGCATTTTGTTCATTGCGTGCTTCGCCCATGTATATGAGAACATTGCCAAATCTGTGATGAACCACTCTGCAGTTTGATAAATAGGTGCTATAAGGAGTGAGGATAGGTTCTAATTACACGCGATATCTTCTTGTCCAGATTTTCAGGAGAAGTCCGATTTTACAGCCCTGTGCTAGACTTCGACAGCAGCCACAATGTCGGCCTTTAAATCTGGCCATGTCAATGAGACAGTTGGAAGCTCTTACAGCAACTCGGGTTCTGAACACAAACATGTTAGTGCAGAAGAAGCACTCGATCATGGTAATTGTTTCCATAGAAATGACGCATTCCATGATTCTGACTGCTGGCAGAAGGTGCAGAACAATACGCCACAAGCGACGAACGTCGCGAGATTGGATTCATCTCAGCTGTGTTCCTCATTTTCAACCGTATGGTCGGCACGGGAATTTTCGCAACTCCTTCCGCTATTCTCTCTCTCTCCGGATCCGTTGGGCTGTCACTTTTCATTTGGGTTGCTGGTATGATCATTGCATACAGTGGCCTGGCTGTTTACATGGAATTCGGTACCACCATCCCTAGAAATGGGGGAGAGAAGAACTACCTCGAGTACGTCTACCGCAAACCAAAATTTCTGGTGACAGCTATGTACGCAGGATACGTAGTGCTGCTTGGTTGGGCCGGTAGTAATAGCGTCGTCTTCGGGGAGTATATTCTTAACGCCGCCGAGGTCGAGGTTACACGATGGAACCAGAGAGGTGTTGGATTGGCCTGCATCACAAGCGCCTTTCTCATCCACGGCCTAGCATTGAAATGGGGTTTAAGGCTTCAGAACTTCCTGGGTGTCATCAAGCTGCTTATTTTGCTCCTGATAATTGTCTGTGGATTCGTAAGCCTAACTCTACGCTATACCTGTGTGCCAAATAACTGACCTCAATAGGTTGCACTTGGTGGCCATCTCAAAATTGATAAACCTGACAACTTCACAAACGCGTTTGAAGGAACCACGGGTAGTGCATATGGTGTAGTGACGGCACTTTACAATGTCATTTGGTCCTACATTGGATACAGCAATGCCAACTATGCTCTTTCGGAAACTAAGGACCCCGTCAAGACACTTAAGCGCGCAGCTCCAGCAGCTCTCGCACTTGTCAGTGTACTTTACATGCTCGTGAACGTAAGTTACTCCTCATCCACCAACAATCTCCGTAGAGATCTAACGCATGCCAGATTGCATACTTTGCCGCCGTCCCAAAAGAAGAAATCATCTCTTCTGGACGCATTCTAGCCGCCTCCTTCTTCCGCAACATATTCGGATCTCGCGCCGAACGGGTCCTTTCAGTCTTCGTCGCGCTCTCAGCCTTCGGAAACGTCCTGTCAGTCATCTTCTCTCAGGGCCGTCTAGTTCAAGAAATAGGTCGTGAAGGTATCCTTCCATTCAGTAGATTATGGGCATCCAACAAACCCTTTAACGCGCCCTTTATGGGTCTCTTTGAGCATTGGCTTGTCAGTGTGATTATCATGCTTGCACCACCACCTGGAGATGCTTACAATTTCATCCTCAAGTAAGTCCCTTCAATTATTGCTTGTATTGCTACTGACATTCTTTCTAGTGTAATCTCATACCCCCTGGCCGTAATCAACGTCTTCGTGGCTGGCGCCCTCATCCACCTCTACCTCCACCCCTTCTCCATCCACCGCAACCCACAACAGTGGACACCACCCTTTAAAGCCACTCTCCCCGTCGCCGTCTTCTTCCTCCTGTCCAACATCTACCTGGTCATTGCCCCATTCATCCCTCCTACCGACGGCCAAAACGTCTACGAACATCTCCCTTATTATCTTCACTGTCTGGTTGGTATTGGAATCTTCGTCGCTGGTGCGGTGTACTGGGTTATTTGGGCGCAAATCTTGCCGAGGATTGGAGGATATGAACTTGTTAGGGAGACTATTGTTGAGAGAGATGGTTGGGGTAGAGTGGAGTTTGTGAAGAGGAGGGTTTAGCTGATGATGACATGGAGTAGGAGGTTTTAATTTTTGCTCGGCTGATTAGGGTAATATTTGGCTGAAACTCATATACCAAAACCATGCTCCGTAGTGTACATATGGAACGTAAACGGATTGTCTCTCTAAACACCATTTTCATGCAGCCCTAGTTGCATGTCATATTGCAGATGATACCGTTCGATCGTCTCAATTCGGTTGACCGTTTACTCAAAAGTCATGTATAAACGTTAGCAACATCGACGCATACACCATGGTTCGAAGGCGCAACACCAATGACGTATAAGCGACACTCCTCAGCCGTGTAAGTGCCTGGCACGGTGGCTTCTGCCTAACTCTAAAGCCTGCATTGGAGCAGCGAGCTTGCTCGGATTTTTGCCAAATTTGAGTTTATTTCATGCCAGAGCGTGTGATTTCGAGCAGCAATGTTTGTTCTGCTATGAACTAGTGAAGATAAAGCTCTTCAAGCATCTAAAAGCTGGCTGGTGATCAATGTAACTCCCCTTTCAGGATATGCAAGTGCTTCGATTGTTTGGCCGAATTACAAAAACCGAGCAAATATGTCGGCGACACCAGTGAGGTCACAAAAGACAAGTTGCAGATCGAAGTGGCTGAGCCACTTGAAAAGAAACACAATAGCAAAAAGTTGAATTACCTCATTCCAAGTTATATTGTCTTGTCAAATTTAGACTCTATCGGAGGTAAACGAACACACCGAGCAGCGACAAAGATATTGAAGATGGGCTAGCAACTTTGTTTCTCTATATCTTTTGCAAAGAAGCAGATGCTGCTTCAGCTCGACTATTGACCTGGTCTGGCTCTTGATGTTATTCAATCAAGCCTCCAACAGGATCAAGTGTTAGTGCTGGGTCTGATGCTGAGATATTGAAGTAATGTCTTCCTGAACGATATCTGTAGCTCGGTTGAGGTTCTCTGACGTTCTTTTCTCAATATTTGCACTAATAAGTATCAGAGATATCTCGCACGACCTCGCTTGTCTTTGGGTGTTGTTTCTACGGGTTTGTTTCACACGGCAATTGCCTTATCAAGTTAGGATAGCTTATTCACAAAAGCATATACTGGATCTTGTTTTCAAGGCTGTCAAGAACTATTCTTGGTAGGTGACGGTTATCGTTCGTTAAGTCCTGCTGAAGCGATTCCTTCAAGTCATTGAAGTTTCTTATTTCCCATTTGCGTTGACCAAAACAGTTCAAGAGGTTAGTATATAGGAACAGCAGGCTGCACCATCGACTCTACAGTGTCTTTTAATGGTTTCTTTGCGCGCCAGTAAATTTCGTCAACTCTTTAGCAGCTATCTCGCGAGCAAAGAAGTGGGTATGCGTCGGCTCTCCAAGGCAGGCAATTGATCTTCCGTAGGGGTACTGAGGACCTAGAGAGAAGAGAAAGACGATGTTTTCGAAGCAAATTCGGTTGATCTGGATGGCACTCCAGAGCTAGGAGGAACAGACAATCAATGATGCATATGAGTATTTCATTCTTAGTCCAACTGCTGATGACACTGCCTAGGTAAATAACAAACTTCTTCCAACATGACAACATCATGAGTAGATAGGTAATCGATCGATATAATATAAAGAGTTTCTGCGTAGCATCTATATTTGAAATACTTTCTAACCCATGCTTGGCGTGTTTCTATGTTGGGAGGAGGTTAGTTGGATTTTTTGATTCAAAATGACCGCGTGCTTTCATAGAACTTCTAGCAATTACGCAGATGATTAAAATCATATATTTTCACAAATATTAACTTAGTAGCATATCATCGATTAAACCTAGCAACTGATCAATATCTCCTTGAGTTTCGTGACATTCAACTTTCAAGTTAAAACTGCAAATTCAGAGATCGAGTACAGAAAAACTACATTTTTGTGATCACAGGAGGTACTTTATGAAACTTTCTTACACAGCAGTGCTTGGCCAAATAGCGACGAATTGTTTTCTATACAAAAGGGAGCGTTCAGTAATCAGAGTAGTATTTCGCGTCGGAAATACATGGATTCGACAATCCACTTTTTGGTATATACGAGGCGTGCGGCATGGCTCAGGCATGAATTCGGTGATCGCGCCACATACAGTCGCTCACCGATGATTAGGGAAGAGGGGTTGAATCTATGAGATGTAATACCAAGAGGGTTTTTGGTTTTATTCTTTCAATCACACAGGATCAAACGCTATGCTTTTTGGATAATCACCCCATCCTCTTCTCTCGCCACTTTCGTCCCAGCGATGAACATGCTGATTTTCCTACCGAGGAGCCGAAATATTCTCCATTGAAAGCGGCCAGTGATGCGGTTGAGAGTGCCGAAGTCAAGACTGTAAGTTTTTCTCTTGAACTGACGTACTGTCGGACGGTGCAATATACGAGAGCTATTAGATATGCCAACAGGGTATATATCCAGACGTTCGAGTGGAGGAGGAGTTCCACCAGGTGCCCCCAAAATCAGAGCGCATTTCTCTTGCGGTATATAAAAGCTTTAAGGATCATCTGCTGGTGACCATGTGTGGCTTCTTCACCATACATTAGCCACATATGGATTTGGATCGAATCATTAATGTGACGATTCTAAAATGGCTTGGGGTTTCCGAATTCTCCTTTGGAAGGCCGTCATTTCGTCTTTCGCAATGAGGTCTATCGCTGAAGACAAGCTCCATTTCTTCCATTTCCAGCCCCGTGGACTATCAACGACCTATAGTAGAGCCGAGATCGTGCTGTATAGACGTAGCAGTTTCTGATGTGTACTAAAAATGATGTTAGTGACCTGAGCAGCCGAGAGATACAACATCGTCTAACTTTAGGTTCTGCAAAATCCCAAACCGCTCTTCAACTCCCCTCCCCAGCCTCCTCGCCCACCACCTCTTTCACTCCTTTCTCAACATCAGCATCACCAGTTCTCTCACCACCTCTTCCTGTAATGGGAGCAACGAGAGACAAAGCGTCACTCACGGCCAACGAGCCCATGGACAGCTGCTCATACCCCTCCGTCTCCTCCGCCTTCTTCGCAAGTATCCCCCTATACCTCCACCAGAGCGCAAACGGCGTAATCACGACCATGCTAATAGCGAACGTAATCGTGTAACTCGTAACATTCGGGTGCTCGACAAAGAACAAATTAAGAAAGAAGCCCAGGATGATAGCAGCCGACACAATGACTTCTTTAAACATGGTCGCGGTCTTCAAGGTGATGCCAAAACACACGAGGGCTCCATTCTTCGACAACCAAGAAACACGTCCGTAAGCCTCATATTATACATTCCCCATTCACGGCCACACAACACGCCGACCCATCACGAAAAGCCACATCCTTCATTCACCCATCCCCTTCCCCAGCCCACCGCCCTCGTGTTGCACAGAAACCACCAGACGCCACGATCCGCAGGGGACGTTGCTTATGTTGCCTCTTTTGGCAGCAGCATTGCATGGCGCGATGATTTACTTCGTACGCGTGGGGAAAGAACTTGGCAAGACGAAAGAAACCAATCGTCAAATCCCGTATTCATAGAGATTAGTTATTCAATTTCGTTACCTGATACGCTTTGAGTCCGGGGTGGACTGTCCACATCTGGAATCTGCCCCACCATCCCCGGACGGTAAAGGGGGGTGTTTCATGTTTATTTTTGCGGGAGCAGTGTTGGTTGGTGGCTTTGGTACGACCATCATCGTGGGATCTTTCAGCTGATGGTGTTTTATGTCAATGAAAGTAAGCCTACGCCTGCGAGCAATCCTCACATAAGCGCGGAGTATGTGGAATGCGCCTTGATTGAGTCGTAAAATATGACAGTTTTAGGAGGAGATGAGATGCGAGGTTTCGGTCGTTTTGAGTTAATTTTGTGGTATGAGTAATCGAGGCATATTTTGATGGTAATGGTGGTGTTGATTATTGATGGCAATACGGAATATCTGTCGACGTTCTGATATTATCAAATGTCACTGACTCTCCTACTCCAAAAAAGTCTTCTAGTACGAAATCTATTATTACTTACTGGAAGCATATATCACATCAAGTTCTGGGAACATTACTCTCTTTGGCAGAAAGTTCCTCTCATGTGCCTCAATGCGCTAGGCTGTATCGCAATCCAAAGTACAATCATTAACCTTAGCAGAAAACACTCTAGGATTTGTGGAAACCCTCAGTCGAAAAGCTGTAGGGTGATGGAATGATCCGATAGGATAAACATTGTTTCTTGCAAGGTTGGTAGTGATGAATAGTCCTATTGAATCGGTAGAAGCTACATCTCGAGCGATTAGACAGCTACTGGTTTGCGTCGATGAAGGCCAAGAAAGTCTAGTAGAAGAACACCATTCGATCAACACGAATTCTCGTACTTGAAGGAGATAAACAAACAAAAAAATGAATTGGCTGTGAAGTTAGTGATAACATTAACCAAAATCTAAATCCAAACTCCATACCAAACATCACACGAACCGGCCACAACCCTCTCCGTCACATTCCCTCACGTCTCCTCATAATTCCCCTTCGCCCAAGCCCGCAACACATTCTTCTTGACCTTCCCTGTGCTCGTCTTCGGCAACTGTTCTACAACCTCTACCTCTCTTGGAACCATAAATTTGCTGATACTGCTCTCATGTTTGGCCCACTCAATGAGCTCCTCTCCTTTCATACTCTTCCCCTCTTGCAGTGTGATGAACGCTTTGGGACGTTCGCCCCAGTGGGAATCTGGGACAGAGACTACGCCGGCTTCTAGGACGGATGGATGTTGCACTAGCATTGCTTCGAGTGCTACGGAGGATATGTTTTCGCCGCCTGAGATTGTTAGTGTTTAGAAATAGGGGGAGGTAGATTGGACATACCTGAGATAATGATATCTTTCGCGCGGTCCAAAATTTGTGCACTTCCATCTTCGTGCCAGACCGCAAGATCACCACTATGTAATCCACCACCTGCAAATAATTTTCTCGTCGCCTCGGGATCCTTAAGATATTCTTTCGCGTTGATGTTTCCAAACATGATGATCTCACCAATCTCCTTTCCATCTTTCTTCACATCTATGAGCACTCCTTCTGGCTGATCAGGTTTCACAATCCTAATTGGGAGCCCCGTAATAAAACCATGTCCTTGTCTTGCCATACGTGCATATTTTTCTTTGAGTGGTAATTCTTCCCAAACGGGCATATGATATCCTTTTGTCACCGGGCCATAAGTCTCTGTAAGCCCATAAACGTGAACAGGAAAGAGGTTGAGTCTGGTCATCTGCTCGAATAAGTGCGCTGTAGGTGGAGATGCTGCAACTGTGACTTTAACTTGTTGATCTAATTTCGTGGCATTCTTGTCGGCGCATAGAAGGGTGTTTACTGTCGGCGCGGCGTTGAAATGGGTTATCCCCTCTTCTTTGAGCATTTTCCAAATTAGAGGGTAGTCTATTTTTCGTAGACAGTAGTGAGTTCCTCTGACCGCTGTTACGGACCAGGGAAAGGCTGTATAATATTAGTATTTACTTTCGAGAAGAATAATCGACTTACTCCACTATGTCAGACTCCAGTTAGTAGAGTCCATACAAAAGTTGTAAAGAAATTCTAGATCTGGAGGGCATGGTAAACTTACACCAACGGCATGAAACATAGGCAACGTCCACAAATATTTACACCTCCCAGTACTGTAATTCAGGCCACTTTCGATCACGTTTCCCAGAGCTGCCAAATAAGCTCCTCGGTGCGTGTAAACGACACCCTTTGGTTTTGCCGTTGTTCCACTAGTAAAAGGTATCGCTATCGTATCATCCTCATTACTACATTGAGCTTTCAATCCAGCCCATCCTTTACTCCCAGTCTCGATATCATACTTAAGACCTTCTAATACTGCACCGTCAAAAGGACCAGATATTTGGCCCTCGTTTGCGTCTGTGTCTGTATCTATGATGAAAGGAATAGACGGATGTTCCTTCTTAAAATGATCTAATAAATGTCGGAATTCTTCGTCGACAATAATCACATCAACCTAAAACTCTGATCAGCCTTATTCGTACACAAGCCAACACTCGAGTATTCAAACAAGTCAGGAATTTTCACTCACCTCCGCAAAATTGAAAATATACTCCACATCCTCCACCTTCAACCTATAATTAACAGCCACATGAACAGCACCCGCCGCCGCAATCCCAAAGATACTCTCCAGAAACGCCGGCGTATTCGGCGCCAAAATCCCAACTCTCTTAAACCCATGTTTCATCAGATAATACGCCAGCCCACGAGCACGATCGGCAAAATCAACGTACGAACGTCGGATGGTGTGGCCATTGGCCGTGACGTGGTAGATTGCAACGGCATCTGGTTCGATTTCCGCGGCTCTAGGAAGGAAGAATGTTGGTGAGAGTTGATGGATGTGAAGACCTGATAGAGGTGGATTCTTGTCTTTATGACCGGGGAGGAAGTGTGAGGCGAGTGCAGCGAGACGCGAGGTTGGACCGGACATGGTTCCGGAGTATGTTGGTTGTTTGGATTCAAAGGTCCAGGTAAGTTTACCGAATGCTATCGACTGGAAGAGTAAGTCACCCGTGTCGTCTTGAAAGTGGTGAACCGAAACAAAAGTATTGAACACCGGTTTGGTGGGGTATTACAAAAATCAGCAGATTATCATGTATCAGCTCCGGCCTATGCAATGGGAAAACCAAGCTAAGGATACTGTCCGAATCTAAGGGTGAAACAAGTCCGTAACTCAAAGAAATGGTCCAATATTGAATTGAAGACAGAATCTAAAGCTGCATGAGATGGAAAAGATCATAAGAAGTGAACAACTCGAGCTATCAGGACTAGCTTGGGGTAGCTCCGTGTGGGGAAATAGCGCGCGGATCGTATCCGCACCACATTCTTCCTCGGTAAGGATGAAGGGACGAATACAACCACACCGGTATCGGGATTTAAACATACGATAATTTGTCAATGTACGCTTATACCACTACATTTATATGAGACACAATGTAGGAAAGTACCCAGCTACCTAGGTAGTGAAGTGCCGCTAAGGCTGACGAGCAGCATCAAAACTAAGGCAAGGCCCTGGTATACTAATTGCCCCTTGAAGGCCCTGCATCTGCTCAACAGACTGAGATACAGGCACAAGCTTCCGTATTTGAATTGAACAAGTCAAATGTTTGTCAACACTTGTACCTGACCTAACATCGAGTGTGAGAAAAAGGCACCTACATGAGATCATACAGGGGTTTCGTATTCAACGACATCCAAAAGACCTCAAGCAAGAACTTTCGAATCAGGAAGACATCTGTGTGCAATTGGTATCAGTGGTCAATTCAACCAATTCAAGTTTAAAAACAATCCATGAACACCCCGGCCGATTTTATTCTTGATTTGTGAATTCATTCCCTATGAGCGGCATGCAAGACGACAGCTTATACACAGCAGAGGGCCGAGTCTTCATCAGCGCTCTTTTCCCGGTGATCGCTAGCCCCCATCCCTTGTGTAATGCAACGAAGAACCAGTCTTGAGGTATCTTCCCAATGTTGGGTCGAACAAGACATTGACGAGGATTGTTGGCATCCGAAAAGAAATGCAATAAGCCCAGAATTCCCAACGCACCAGACTCTCCGAAAATTAACTCCGCGACGTCTAGTAGCCGTAACCAGCCAACTGCTCCTTGGTCTTCTCGTCGACCTTCGCGCTCTTCGTGGCATCTGAAAGTTGTCTTCGTGCAGCCTTCTTGCGGGCGTAGTATGCAGCTCCCTTGACCTTTCTTCTCTCCTCGAGTCTATAGCCCAATTAGCACCTATTCCAAATTCAATTAGCGCCCAGAAACCACTAACCTGGCAACAACATCCTGGTATTTCCATCCGACCTCGTGGCTCAAACGACCGACTGTGCAGTATTTACGTCCAGGCTTCAATCTGAGGACTCTCAAAGCTTGTGGAACGACAACTCTCTTGACGTGGTCATATGGTGGTGGGACACCCTCAAAGACCTTGAGTCTCTCCATAGCAGCGGCGCCACGGGCGGTCTTGTGTGGGATCATACCACGGACGGTCTTGTAGAAAATGCGTGATGGGGCACGGAAATGGAAAGGACCTATTTCGAATTAGAATTCGCCCTGTTCATCGCTTTCGCCAGTTCGTGGGAATTCATACCTCCTCGGGTTGGGTTGTATCGGGTCATCTTTCGGAGGTAGGCATGGTACTTTACTATAATCCATCCAGGTCAGTTTCGTTATTCCATTGCACCATTCCTATCCATATTTCGCGGATGTATCCTTTTCCATAAGAGTAGAGTGTAACATACGCTTCGCACGGAAGAACTCTCCAGAGATGTTGAGGGCCTCGCATCGCACAACAACAATCTTTTGGCCGTTCAAAAGCTGCTTAGCAACAGTGCTTGCCAGCCGACCAAGCAAATGTCCCTTGCCATCGATGACAATCTAACACACAAAAAAAATCAGCCATCATCCTCTCAAGCGCAAAGTCCATTCGTGGAAGACAATGGTTGACGCATCGCAATTGCAGGACAGGTTCGCCGGGGTATTTACCTGTTGCTCGAACGTCGACATATCGTCCTACTTCACGTCGTGAGGAGACAATTGTCGAAAGGGTTCCGGATATCCTCTACCTGCGTTATGGTGGAGGCGGTTTGTCGATTTGTCGTTATTGTCGTGGAATATTTTCCAAGAGGCTTCGAAATTCGAATGTGTGGGAATTCCATTCGCGAAGCCCACTTTTCCCGTTAAGGGCTTAGCGTGTGATTATCACATGATGCAGCACACCGGGCGGGCTGCGCCGAGATTCGGTAAACCAGCGCCGATGTAGCCTCCAAGCTTAGGGCCGATACCCTGGGTTTGAAGTTAAATGTGTTTTAATTACATCTCATTGATTAGTTCATTGGAAGAGTATTTAAATCTGTCCAAATTTTTGCACTGATATCTAAAATGTTGCCCACTGCAAATTTAGTTCATTCTCACGCACCCAGACAGTCACTCTATTCCACATATTCCACTTCGCGATGTAGAAATAAAATGGAAAATGAACTTGGACTCATAACTATATGAAGGTAGGAGGTGGTACGCATAGATTTAAGTTTCTTTTGGTACGAACATTGAATATTGGTGGCTACAAATAAATTTAACATCAAGATGTAGACCGAAGGTGATAACATCGTACGCTGGCTTGCACCCCAAATACAACCACAAGTGCACAGTACAGTACTCATGATGGTTCAGAAAAGAACAGGCTCGAGTCGGTTATCCTTTATATTCCAAATTAACTCTTCAATTTCGAGATATCAAACAAAGTTCTAAAAGCGCTTAAGCAATAACTTCCAAAACTGCGCTGATATCAAGCATGAGGAGACCCCCGGCTATAACCAATTCCTACAGTCCAGATGAGCAGCAATAAACGCCACGCTCTTATCGCCCATGAAGTGATACTATCCATCCGAAGAAGTACACATCACGCTATGCAAATACAAATGGATGAAAGGAATTCGTAAATCCGCTAGAACCTACACCTAAACAACGCCAGCTTTAGCATCCAACCCGTTTAATACGCCTTGCGTCTCTTTCACTAGCGCTCTTCGCCTTTCACGAGCCTCATTATCACCCTCGGTTTCCACGGCATCTAGCTTCAACAGAACCTCGTTCATAATCGTTTCAGACAGTTTCTTGTGTTCGAAATCTCTCTTCTTTGGGTCCTCTGGCGGGGAAATAGTGTACTGAACACATAGCGGTAGAATTTTGGTGTGGAAATGAGAAGAAATAGCTTGTATTTTCCCCAGAGGAGTTGATGGTGCAGGTGCAGCGGCTGCTGGTGTTGGCGTTCTTGAGTTTTGCGAACTAGGTCCTTCGCCAGGTGATAAAGTATCTCCCTTCTTCTTTTTCGTCTTCTTGCTCTTACGAATCCGCTTCTTTTTACCAAAAAGTCCAGTTTCTTGTGCATCCCCACTGTCGTCATCTGATTCCTCAGCTTGCTCTGGCGCATCTCCAACCAAACACAAAATCTCGCTCTGATTTTTCAGCTGATAGTCCCGGCATGGTCTGTAGTCGTCTTTCAGTTGCTGGCCCTTGTACAGTAATTTCAACTTCGTCCCGATCGGTAGGTCCATGACAGCGGCGGCTCGATCTTTTATATCACGAACTTGCAGCTTGCCATCCCCAATACTATAGGCGGGGAATTTGACAGGATATGTCACACCCTTGTTCTTTAACAAGAGCACATCGTCTTCCGCCGCCATTGATGGTGGTTGTTGCTGACGGTGGGGATCGTACGATGCGCCAGGTCTTTGCAAATCCTCAGAGGTGATGTAAGAGAAATCATCTTCCGTGACATTTGGGGGATATGTCCTCGAACCAAATGGAGACAGTCGGTGCCCGTTTCCACCCCAAAACGAACGACCCCAACCGCTCATTGAGAAAACTACGGTGACGAGGAGTAGGACGAAGCTGCCGGCAAATGCGGTCGGTGGGAGGCTGTCGAGATGTGTAAATTTCGCAGTATCTTCGATATATTTCTGGGTCGAAAGTGGAAGTCTGGAGTATGCGTTCGAAATCTGCGATACCGACGTCTCGATGTAGCTCTGAAGAGGGTCAGGAAGCCGTTGAACGATGGAAGACAGGCTGGCACCTTGCGATGCCACTGCGTTGGAAGCCACCTTGACTGGTTTCTTTAAAGTCCTGCAGCAGGACCTACCCTTGACCTTTGCCTCTTTCGATTTCTTAGGAGGAGATGAGTGTGCTGGTGGTCTCTGAAATGGATTGATTCAGAATCTCATAGATTTTCTGCCGCTGCAATGGGATGAATCGAGGTCGCTTTGCCAAGCGAGTTGGTATCAGCGTCGGGGGAAAAGGTCGGGGTCGAGGCTTCAAACCGCATTCGCTTTGATGGGTTCCAGGTTGGTTGAGGAGGTCATGCAGAATCAACTACTCGAAAGTACCAAGCATGATATTTGACTCTGACACTTTGCAAATGAGGCAAAAACCATGGGTTACGCGATTTGAATTTCCTCCAATTAACCCCAAAATAACATACCTAACGATTCACTGTGAGATTCCAAATCCCATCCCCCGGCGTGCACCAGAACATGCCACAATCATCCATGCCACCGGAATCACTGCGTCCGTGTGCCCGATCTCGGGCTGTAACCGGGCCGAGTTATGTTCTTCCAGCTGTCCACCAAAATTTATAAGCGTCGCAGCCTCGGCCCATCAATCTTGCGTCATCCCATCACCACATCCACCTCCTCCAATCTCGATTCGCAATCCTCACTAATCAAGCCCCGAAACGACCCTTGACCACACCATCTCCGCCTCACCTTACAGATCAATTGCCCCTCCATCAAATCCCTATATCACCCTCCTCGAACCCTCCATTCCTCCCCATCGTAACCCCGCTAACAATCGCCCATCATTTCGTTCCTACTCCGATTCTTCTCTTCGACACCTGCAAATCCCGCAGCCATGTCCGCCGCAAAGACCAAGGCCCAGAATATCATTGAGGATAATGCTGTTGGTATGTTGTTTTGCCTTGAACTTCATTGGGATTGGATGCTAATGCTATGATAGCCGTATTCAGCAAATCCTACTGCCCGTACTGTAAAGCTACCAAGTCTCTTCTCGATTCGCTAGGCGCAAAGTACTATGCTATTGAGCTTGATCAAGTTGGTATGTTGATATCACTTTCGTAGAGTGCATACAGTTTCTAATGATAATACAGATGACGGAGCAGCAATCCAAGGCGCCCTGAAGGAAATCAATGGCCAAACATCCGTGCCAAATATCTACATCAAGAAGCAACACATTGGTGGAAACTCTGATTTGCAAGCTCGCAAGGGAGAGTTGAAGAACTTGTTGCAAGATGCTGGAGCTCTATAAAAGGTGTATTGAGATGAATACGAGTGTATGATACGATGAGCGAGCGATGGACTAGTTTTAGGAAGCAAACAACTGCATGATAGAACAATGGAATATCTTGTTTCTTGAACTTATCCCCATACGTTTTGCGATTGAACATAGTAGTACATAATGTAGCTGAGTATACCATGATGGAGGTAACAGTAGTATTACACATTGTGCGAAACAACCTGTGTGGCAACCGTTCCAACAGGACGCTCAACAAATTCCATCACTCCTTCAATAATGCTTTTCCTGGCTGGCTCACTGGCAACTGTCTTTCCAGCCAGATAGTTTAGCCATAGACCTCTCGAGACTCGCTCATCATGAACCTGACCCAATCTGGTTGCGCCATTCTTTCCATCATCATACCAAACGGCCACTTTGCCCTTCGTATCTCTGCTCAGAACCAGCTCTTTTCCTTTTGGTACACTTCCTCGGTTAAACAATTGCTTGAATTCCTGTATCGAAACACCAAAAGACTCATCTCCAAATTCTTCCTTGTTTGATTGCGCGCGGGCTGTGAGATGTCGCACCCACGCGTCCTTAAGATGTCCAAAGTCTGTGTTTTTGGTAGGTACGATTCGAATTAGCGTCCGTATACCAGTACTTTTCAGTACATCATTCCAGATTTCTGAGCCCTCTTCAGGGTCATAGAGCTTTGCCTTTAGCTTTTCTTTCTCCCCAGCAACAAGAGTGGATGCAATTGGGTCGATTTTCCGAATCAAAGCTTCCTGGAGCGCGGCGATGTCGTCGGTCGCAATGTACATTCCCACTACGTAGACTTCGATGCCCAGGAAACTGACTGTTCGAAGACCCAACCCGAGACACTGGTATTCAACCATGCGATCATCATTTGATGCCGGTCCTTCTCCAGCATCATCGTAATATTCCAGTACTCGTGGAAATGTTGGAACTGTACTCGTACCCGTGGGTAACGAGTCCACAACCTCCTCTGGTTCTTCCCCCAGCTTCTGAATAACAATCTTCTTCTCCTTGCCCAGCACTACCAAGGGGTCATCTGCGCGTCGTCCAGAGTCGGCCTGTATGGGTTTTGGAGGTAATTCAATCGAAGTCGCAGTGATCCAAATCGCAATCATGCCCAGCACAAATCCCGTTCCCGCATAGTATGATCTCCTTTTGTAGTATTCCCGGCGCTGGTATTCGAGTCTATGTAGTGTGATGGGGTCGAGTCGTTCTCCAGGTGCTGGTGATGGTGCTGGTTTTGTTGCCAGGCTTCGACGTTGCGCTAGACATTGGGGTACCCGGCGGAGGCATTGTATATTTCTTTCATTGCGAGATATAAGTCTAAGGACCCGGCTGGACGGTGGACGGATTGACATTGTGTTGTGCGTTGTGGATGAAAAACTGTGACTTCGTGAGTTGCAGTAAATGAGCTGATCATCGGTCAGGTTATGGTTTTCGGCGTTGGTTCCGCAGCGAGTTGTGGGGTATCCGCCAAGCAACGTGGTGAACAGCCGCTTGAGATCTCGACAACCTGAGAACTCCACAAGCTGGGCTGCTTCTAACCACATCTGTATTATGAACACATCTCTATTATGATGGTGGGAATGTGATTGCCAAATGCGAATGAAGTACTCGAACCTTGCAGGTTCCTTTGATATCGGCGCTCAAGCTGCATTCAATGCAGTTAGACATAATTAAGAGAGTTACAGTGCGGTGCGGCTCTTGACCCCACTACCCTTAAGTAATTCTTGGAGATGAATACCTACCGCTCTAAAGGAAGGCCAGCACAATAAGCGCCATACCAGAAGACTCTACGATGCGTAAGTAGCTACTTGGTTGCTTCTTTCCAACACGAGGGCGTACTTTCAAGAAGTCTATACTGATTGTATACGGCAAAGAGCGAGCCAAGCTTTCATCATCTCACATCAGCTACTGCACTTCGCCTGGGCAGTACAGGAATGAATCCTTCAGGGCGTCTATGTCCCTTTCGTACATCATATCTCGACTTGCACCAATAAAAGCTTTACCTCCCCAACGCGTGGACTCGCAGATGAAGACTCGTGGCATCCAGCGCCAAGATGTATTTTAAGTGACTTAAGTGACTTAGGTGACTTGGCATGTATACGGCTCGACACTAGGAGCAACTGTGCCAGAGCTTCATTCCAGACCAAGATATGACGAAGTGCTTGTCATTTTCTTCTAAAAGATTTTTTTTCTTATTCTGTTCCATTGCTTCCACATATTTTGATGCTCTTCGTTGCAGCTCTGTCATCCTTTGCAGATTTATCTCTTTCAGACACTCCAGATTTTGCGATTTACCTGTCAAGACTCCAGCTCCAGCTATCCGCGACTAATAACCACTGCCATCTCTCGGACGCACGATTGACTTTGGACCACGCAGTTGCATCGAACCCCTTCGTCATCGGTCCAGAATCTCGAATCACCCTGGGATCCCCAATTCGACCCGGAACACCACATCGGAAGCGCAAGTGACTGACTGGACATAAGAACATTTTACGTGCGGAAGCGTCGTTGACTGGTGAGACGAGGAGCATCTGCGGCGATAAGCGAAGCCTCTCAAGGCCATGGCGAACCACGCATCCGCTCCGTTCTTTGAAATCCAAGCAGCACCAGCACAACCAGAAACACAAGAAGCACAAGCCATCACGACCACTTCGACTTCGACTTCGACCACTACCACCACCACCACGCCCTCAACCGATACCGCTCGCCGCCGCCCCTCTTATACCGCTCTCCGACGCTTCACCTCATCATCATTTACACAAACTGCCAGAACCGCTGTCGCTGGCTGCCCCTTTGGCCTTGATCACGACGCCCAGGAGTCCACACATCATCTTGTCGACTGCGTCGCGGCTGCATCGAGACCACCTCCTCGACCTGATCTCCCCCCCACGAGGCTGAGCAACCCAACCACAACATCACCTCCCACCGATCGAGCGTCGAACACAAGCGACGACACAACCAGCTCCCCTTTCCGATCCGTCGAGCGTGACGCAAATATTGTCCCTCCATCCATACCTAGCCGCGTTCCTCTCCCCCTCCGCGTGTTTCCAAGCACTCAACCTTCACCTTGGACACAACAACCACAACAACAGAGAACCGCCATGCGGGGTCCAGTTCCGACCATGGCACCCATCGGCACCCAGTATCGCGTGGCGATCGAGCCAGAGGGCGACTCGCAGTCATCGTCGAGCAACTCGCCAGCACGCCAGGACTACGACGAGTCGGATTTCTACGCCGGAAACAATGATTCTCAGTCTTCCATCGGGGTCCCGACCTTCAGAGACATGGCCGTCTCGGGGGAGGTGTGCGAACCACCAGCGAACCGATTACCGGCCGAAGTTCTGATTGGGATCTTCTCGAAACTGAGTGGCCCTGCAGAACTCCTGAACGCCATGCTTGTATCGAAGCGATGGGCTCGAAACTGCGTGGATTTGCTATGGCATCGACCTTCTTGTACGACTTGGGCCAAGCACAGCTCCATATGCAGGACACTTTCGCTCACAGACCCAACCTTTACATATCGAGACTTTGTTAAACGACTGAATCTCGCCTCCCTTGCAGACGCGGTCAACGACGGCAGTGTTGTACCTCTTTCCGTCTGTTCACGAATCGAACGTCTCACGCTCACGATGTGCCAAGGCCTTACAGATGCAGGACTTATTCCACTTCTTACGGATAGCAAGGGCCTACTTGCGCTCGACATCTCTGGGGACACACAGATTACTTCCGAGTCCATGGTTGTATTAGCGGAGCACTGTAAGAGGCTCCAGGGGCTCAATATCACCGAATGCCTTAAGATCAGTAACGAGTCCATGATTGGTGTGGCTAATGCCTGTAAACATATCAAAAGAGTAAGTTCTGCGTGAGTTGGATGCATGTTCACAGTGTTGACAATTTCTAGCTCAAGCTTAATCATTGCGAACAACTCGAGGATTCTGCTATCCTAGCATTTGCTCGGAATTGTCCAAACATCCTGGAAATCGATTTGATGGGGTGCAACTCGGTTGGCAACGCACCTGTCACCGAACTATTTGCTAACGGGGCATGCCTCCGAGAGCTTCGTTTGCCAGACTGCAACTTAATCTCCGACGCGGCATTCCTCTCTTTGCCACTCAACAGAACATATGAAAATCTTCGAATAATAGATCTTACAGCTAATTTGAGGGTGACGGATCAGGCCGTCGAGAGAATTATCGATGCTGCGCCCCGATTGAGGAACATCATCTTTGCGAAATGTCGAAACTTGACAGATATCTCAGTCAATGCTATCAGCAAGCTCGGAAAGAACCTCCACTATCTCCATCTTGGTCACTGTTCGCATATCACTGACACAGCGGTGATCAAAATGGTGACATCTTGCAATCGGATTCGCTACATCGATCTTGGCTGCTGTACCCACCTAACAGATGCTTCTATTACCAAATTGGCCCAGCTGCCCAAGTTACGACGTATAGGACTTGTCAAATGCGCTCAAATCACGGATCTGAGTGTTCTAGCGCTCGCTCAGTATCGAGGTACGAGAAATCACTCTCTGAGACCTGGTGAGCCTATGTGGCATGGCAGTAGCCTCGAAAGAGTCCATCTCAGCTATTGTGTTAATTTAACTCTTTTGGTAAGGTTTGGTGTTTCTGTTCGACTTAAAAGGTGTGGCTAACACAAGGATGCAGAGTGTCGTTAAACTTCTGGACAATTGCCAAAAGCTTACCCACCTGAGTTTGACGGGAGTTTCGGCCTTCCTACGGCCAGATCTGGAACAATATTGCCGCGAGGCACCGCCTGGTAGGTCACCTGCATCGCGCAATAAAAGCTCATAACTAATTCTTTTTAGAATTTACCGAGCACCAGAGAAACGTCTTCTGTGTTTTTTCAGGTAATGGAGTAACTGGCCTCCGTCGGCACTTGATGAATCATCCATCCGGCGACGATTTTGATCAAGAGACTATAGTTGGTGATGATCAAACCATGACCGGGATGATGGGCGCAACCGCCCTTACTGGAGACGAAGATGCGGATGCGGATGGGGATGACGACTTAGATGATGTAGAAGTGGGAAACAACTCTTTCCTTGGCGCAGCGACTTGAAGCGTCTTCCCGTTGATTGGACATCGATAGGCATGTTACAGATTGTTGGAATTTTGGTATGGCTGCTGAGCTCATAACGCGGTGTTTGAAGCCGCCTCTCAGCAAACAAACTACGAAGGAGCTATCATGATTACTCTGCCTCTTAATTTTACTGAGGCAGGACCTTGCCCTATATTTAAGCTATCCTTACCTGCTTAAGGGCTGGTATGTCACAATGTGCCCTCACCATTGATCGGTACATTATGGCACAGGAGCACAATGCCCGCCAGCTTTAGGCACATTATAGTATGGAGGGAGAAGAGAAAGCATCGATTCGAGGTGTTTTGGAGTTGTAGACTCTGGAGATTTAGATGGGGGATGACCTGGTGCACATTGGTCATGGACAATTCAATTAACGCCATGCTTTACCATCCTCTTCCCGGTACTACGCAAGTGATGAGTCTGATCTTTCTCTTCTGATGTTATTTGGAGTAAGATCCCCGACCCCAATACAGTTCTCTCAGACGAGTATTCATTTGTTCATATTGTCCCTTGAGCTCACAACGTTACGCGACATACTATCTTTTGTTTTGATACCGTTTTTGGTTTGAAAGATCTATTATTACTCCAAGGGAGCAAATGCTACGATGGTTGGTCTCAGACCGGGTGAATCTACTACTTACAAAGTTCTTGCCGACTCCCCAGCGCTTAGATTATCTACTGTTGCCTTCAGAACGAGTAACGCAAGAGCAGTTCTAGATACTACGTAGTATTCTTGTTCCTCACACATATCAGGTTGATCGGACAGCTGGCGAGATCGTCAATATTTGCTCGCTTGATGAGTGTCATTGAGCGAATGTTTTTCGTACTCCATTGAAAAAGCGAATCCCAGACAACAGAATCGGCAGGGTCCTCGAGCTTTATTATCCCACAGCAACGGCAAATATCAAAGGACAATCTTCGAGCACTAGTTTTCGAAAGCATCTTTCCAATCATCATGTCATCACGTGTCGTACATGAACCCAGTTTGGATACCGAGGACAAGTCAATAAATACCGGAAGAACACTTCTACCGAAATCCCAGGAACAGTTTTGCAGGATGCGACCTGCATGTGTTTTATGTTAAAACCCAAATGAGCCTCGCTATCCCAGATTTGCTAACGCGGGGAAACTGGTCAATGTTAGTGGGACTTGTTTAACCCGAGGTCACGCTGACTGTGTTTGTATTAGGCTGTTTGGCCTTTAACATTACACGCACTTCGACGGAGTATTGCACACTGAAGACGTTGTTTGCCAGCGAGTCGGCTTGGATTCCAAATACAAAGGTGCAATTGAGCTACAATTTTATCCATAGCACCTTGTTCAGGATGTGGATCCTTGATACTGGCATGGAAAATGGTATATAGAAAGACTCTTGGACCTTGTTATTCTTCTGACTTGGCATTTTCATCTTTAGTCGAGCTTCTACTCCCATTCCATCCACGATGAGATCTTTTATTCCACTTCTCCTTGCCCCTCTCGTCCTGGCCCATCCTAAAATTCCTACTCCAGGTCCGGATGGAAAATACACTCTCAGTGCCCCAGGTATTGAAGCAAAATTCATCGCCTACTCAGCTGCTATCACCAATCTCGTCGTCTCAGATCGCAATGGTGTGAAAAGAGATATCATTCTCGGTTACGACAATGCATCTTTCTATCCCGTCGACCCCAATCACCCAGACTACGGAGCTGTTCCAGGTCGATACGCAAACCGCATCAAAGACCATACCTATGTGGTAGACGGAGATCGCTTCTTTACTGAGGCTAACGACGGAAATGGCACGCTTCATTCAGGTCTCAATGGTTGGTCGAGACGGACCTGGAACGTAAGCGAGGTTACCAGCAAAAGTATCACCTTCACCATCCGCGACGAGGGCAACTCTTCTCAAGGTCTCCCTGGTCTAGTCCTAGGAAAGGTCACACACACCATCGAAGCCAATTCGTGGTCCACCAAACTCTACGCTGTGTCAAAAACACATGACACACCAATTCTCCTCACCACCCACCCCTACTGGAATCTCGACGCCTTCCAAAACCCAGCAACAGACCTCGTGCTAAACCACACTCTCAGCCTACCATTCGGCAAGAGATTAGTCGGTATCGACGGCAACACCCAATCCACCGGTGCCCTCCCCGCCATTCCAGCAGGCGACATCAATGATTTCTGGAGCAAACCGAAACAACTCGGTGCGAACCAGGGAAATGCGAATTGGGTTGGTAACTGTGGAACCAATTCTGGATGCTCGGGATACAACAATCAATGGGTTGTTGATCGTGATCCGCTTGATGTGACGGCTTCGAAGCCTGTGGCTAGTCTATCCAGTGACTTCAGTGGGATCAAATGGGATTTGTACTCGGATCAGGCGGGTGTGGTTGTGTATTCTTGTTATTGGATGGGTGGTATGTCTTATTTTCCCTCAATTTCATCGGGATTTGACTAATGACGATAGGTGCAAATGAGCTTAAAGCTTCTCAGAAGGGTCCAGCTACGAATGGCTTTGTGAAGAGTAATGGATGCGTGGCTGTTGAGCCGCAGGATTTGATCGATGGTATTAATCATCCTGAGTGGGGCAGAAACCAGATCTATACTCCTAAGGGGAAGCCGTTTGAGGCTAGTATTCAGTATAAGTTTAGTACCTTTTAAGTTGGGTTAGAGGTTGAGACGGTGGTATAGATAGTGTGATATATAAAAGTTGGCAAATGTAAGTGTGGCAGTTTGAAGTGCCTTGTTCAAGTGAAGTGCATTTCATGTCCAATTGAGTTTTCGTTTCACTTGAAAAGTTCTTGGGAGTGAAATCCTTCGTCGTTGTTATTTATAATGACTCATATTCCTTAGGGATTTGTTTTCTTGTTTGTGCTTAGAGACTCAAATCTTGCCTGCTTGCCTTTTCCCGATGTTGCCAGGGGGTAAAATCGTTTTCTGTTTAAAGTTCAGTGTTAAAGAGCTGTCTCTGATTCCTGTGGTCTTGCGGGATAAATAATCAATGCAGTAATATCTTTTGATTTCAGATAAGATGCTGCCAAATTGGACTTTTGTGGAATCTTGCGCTGGCACATTTTCTTGTTCGGAACTACTCACTCACCAGTTTTGTTGTCATACATCCTAGTCTCTTAATTTAAACGCTTGCAAGAAATCCAATTTAACACACGACACGAATAGCTTACCTCTCTCAAAAACAAACAAAAACTCTCGAAGCTGTGGACTAAAACCTTTCACCACCACCCCCTTCACTCTCCACCCGCATCACCTCCCTCAACCCTCTGACTCGGAACCATAAACTTCATCATCCTATTCCTCCTCAACTGAATCCCCAAATCCATCCTCGCGCCCCCACTCATCCCCTCCTCCTCCTCCTCCATCTCCCTCAAAATCGCAGCCTCCTCCTCATCCAACACCCTCCACCTCTCACATTCCATTTCCCAGAACCTCAACAGTGAAATGAGTCTCGCCTTCTGCTTAGTGCTGAGATAAGGGTGTTGATTTGCGATTTGTTCGGGTGTGAGAGATGCGGTGGTGACTGTTAGTTGCGCTCCTGGTGATGAATCTGAGGGGATGGGGAGAATGGTGCCGTGTTTGATGAGGTCGGCGTGGAGTCTTGATGATTCAGAAAGTGATGTGGTGATGGAGGTTATTATGAAGGCGTTTGGGGAGAGGTAGGTTGGGAGGTGTTGAGTTGAGATGTGAAAAGAGCATCTGCTTGTGATGGGGTGAGGTCTGCATCGGATTTTGATGTAAAGACTGAGTGGGCCAATGAGCGTAGATGTGACCATATTTTAGATGGTTGTTTTATTGGCATGTTGTAGTGATGGAAATGCTATCGTGGTAAGGTTTGGATTGTTGCGGTCGAAGTTTTTGTTGTTGAAGAAATCCGCTCAATGAGTAGAAGCGTAAGCGAGCTGCAATGTTTCACTCGCCAATCGTGATGTTTACCAATTAGTAGATTATCAAAACTGTGGTACTCTCGCCTCGTAAGTCGTAGAAGTTGAATTGACTCGCGGTAAATAGATCTAGTGACGGCCTAAAGTTGACGTTTATTAGTCCTTTGGAATTCTATCATAGTCTGTGTATAGTGGTCTCATGTGCAACAATACTCTCTAAGTCGCCTTTGTATATGAATTTTGCCATCGTTAGGATATTCATCCCGAAACGAGTCGATACACATGTTTTGAATGAGTGGCCTTCAAAACGAACGATCATAGTGCGCCTGTCAAGCAAATTTCTTCCTTGGCTTCAGTCATGAATATAGCGGACTTATAGCTGGTTACGGTCCTTTTCGTTCCTTCTTCTCACATTCTCGAGACTGGGGCTCGTATGCTTGGAAATACAATCTTCATTGCTTCACACCTATTGACCAGTTTCAGATGAAAGAACGGTTAACATCACTCCTGACTACACCCGTAGATAAATGAAAAGTGAACTAAAAGTAGTAAGTCAATCGCAGAGAAACATCAATCTATTGCTCCCCGGTTTCCGTAAAAGTAGCAAGAAATTCATCCATAATTCTTTCCGCCTCTTCCTGTTCTACCAAATCCTTCTCCTCCTCCTCCATGTCGACGTTCTCACTCCCCTGAGAAGAATTGTTCTCTGTATCGGTTCTGATCTCTTTATGCCCATCGGGAGCTCTTTCCGCTTTTGAGCCTCTTCTTTTAGCCTTGGACCGTTTGGGAATATGTTGATCAGCATGATAGATCTCGGAACTTGTGCTGGAGCTGGAACCCAGACGACGACCTCTTCTTGAAGATTCGTGGACGCTTGGTGAACCAGATCGGTGGACACTTTGCTCGTCGTCGGTGATAGATACCAATTCCTTACTTGAGTCCGAGGAACCCGAGCCCAGGTCTGTTTCGTACTTCCGAGGGGCCTTTCTGTTCAAAGGATTGCGGTTCACACCTAACCGGCTTGAAGTGGTTCAAGTGGTTCTCCTTTACGACCTCCTCTGCCTCGGGCCCAACCTGATGGGGGCTCAGGGGGAACGCCAAAGGGGAGCTCAGAGGGAAAGCCATAGGGTTCTGTAAGAGGCTGATGGTGAATCTGTAGCCATGGGTCGTAGGTTATTTTGAGGTTGTGGAGACCGTTCTCGGACAAGGGACGCGGAGCGCTGCGAAGAATGAGGGCCAATTGTGTGATCTTGGTTACCTTTTGTCTACGTGAAAACATGGATGCTTTGGGCGTTTGGTCAATAAATGCTGCGAGAGTCCACTCATATTTTGGGTGAGTAGTTCGATTGATAACGAATGAGTGGACAGAATTGTGAATTGGGGAGGGCATTCCGAATAGAAGCTTAGAGGCACGTCCCGGATCTGGAGTTTTTAAACCCTTAGATATGAAAGATGCAACTTCTTTCTGTAACTTGGCCTGATCGATAGATAAAGGGACAAAGCTATGCAGTATAGGTGAGCGTCCTAGATCATGGAAGGGCCTGTATGTTGTGACACAGAGACCGCATAAGTGATATGTTGTTGGTAAAACATTGAGCCTGTGTGTGTAAAGCCATGACTCATATATTGCTTCGGGAACGGTGTGGCGTCTATGAATTTGTTAACGTACTAAGATGAAAACTCTGAGGTGGTAAGCCGGTGCTGCCTACTCTTTAACTTTTTGAGAAGCTTTTGTCTCAACTCGTTCGAGCTCGCTAGCTTTCTCCCTATCGCCGATCATATTTTCAAATGTTTGACTCTGATCCCTAGATTGTGAATGCACCTTTGTCATCTTGGTTTCGTTGTCTTTTTGTGTTTCTATAGGAGCTGCAGGGTCCCTTTTCGACGCCGTAGCCAGACGTTGCGGTAGTAAGGCTTTATTGGAACTAGAAGCAATAGGCTCGTTTTCGGAGGTAGATATTGGAACCTTTTCTGGAACGGTGGCAGCCCCACCAAAAGCAACCTTGTTCGGATTGCTCTTAGAAAATACTTGTACGAGCCCAGCTTGATGCAACTCCTTTATCAAGAAAGGAAGATGAAGCACAAGAAGCTTTAGGTCTTCCGATTGATCCTCATTTAACAGATTTCTGGTGGGCAATGTAAGTTTGTGGGGGGAAGACTGTTGAGATACGGTCGGACTTTTTACTCAGCTTCTTAAGAATCAACAAATTAACAGAATCCAACAATAACTGCAAATTAGATTTAGACGTTTCAGCAGATGCTGCCAGCTCTTTAAAGTTTGCTTCTCCGCCCAAAGCAAATTTGAGCTTTTCCCAGGCACTCATACTGTCCTTGCGGTTGTTGGAACTATTGGTTCCCGTTTCTTCCCGGTTGATACTTTTCTTCGCTTCTTTGATTGCCTTGCGTAAGAGATTGAAGTTTCGCTCGCAAATCTCCTTTGCTTTGTTGAAATTGTCGACTTTTAGACGAAACTCAACTTCATATTCCTGGACAGTAGTTGCCAATTCGGTCAAAATTGATGCTGTGAGTGATACATCGGTGGATAGATCACTTGTTTTTTGATCTGCGGAGGTATACGACGTCAAAAACACTCTCAGAGTAGTAACAACCTTGGCCCCAGCTGCCGCAATGCCGAGAAGAGAAGCCCCAAGTCCAATTGCCTCAGCCATGTCTCGATGACGGATAAAGAAGGCGAAATTACGTAGGAGAAGGTAAAGCGTCAGATTAAAGCAAACCTGCCATAACAGCCGGCTGGATTTGTGATGAAATATGCTTTGGCCTGGCTTTGGCTTTAAAATTGGGGACTGATGCAGTTCTGCAGAATACCTCAGCCTTTCTCGTACCCTAACAATTGGTAACAAGCTGGCTGGCCCTCAAAGATTAGGACTTTTGTGAGGCTCGGGGCTTGTTGTCGAACCGTGCTGCTTTGAGGAATAGTTGCACTCAAAATTTAGGGTAGGACAGGCAAGAGAAGGCTGACAAATATTGCTCAGCTCCCTTGAATTATTGCAGGAGCTTGACGCCTCAAGGCTTCCGAAAGAATATAATTAGAGGAATGATTTACATCATCTCCCTACTAAGATATGTTTTTAAATATGACTACAATATTCCTTGAGAACACTGTCAAATCAGAGGAATTGTCCACGAAAATCGTGCTTAAATATTTATTATTATTGTTATGAATAGTAGGAACGTGACTCCGGGATTCCTCTGCCAGGAAGCGGGGAAATTGAGGTTATTGGTTTACCTTATATTGTGTATCAGGAATTTTGTGACCGGTTCCAAACCCTCGTACCTTTGCTTTGAAGATGGATATTACACCTTGATAAAAATCTCTACCCGGTATTTCAAAAGTATCTTCGTTGGCCACAGGTTCCGCATCTAAATCCCTGTCCACATGAAAAGAATGACTGTAGGTCCGAGTAATGAGAAACACACTTTATCTGGAGTCAGCTGGTTTCGAGGTTCAAAATTTGGAACACATGAAAACTATGATGCCCACTATTTTATGTTTTATTGCAAATGATTTCTGTCATAGGAGCGCAATGCAAGTATCGACCTGGATCTGTTCGGACTTTGCTGTTTGCTTATGCCCTAGAAGACAGCCTTATGTCCGTATGTGAAGTAATTATTGAGATCGTGTCTTTAGTCGCTCGATGCTAACAAGGTGTTCTACATCCAGCATCGAAGGAGAATGTTTGGAATGCACAATAGTTTGGCGCCTTCCTCTTTTAGGCAAAAAAGGTAATCCATCCACATTTAAAAAGACCCACAATCCGCCCACGACATAGTAGTGTCCGCCGGCCATTTTATCATCTTGGTGTGCGTATCGGTCATTATCTGCATTAAAGCATGGATTTTCTGCTTATTGCTACCAGATCAACTTCAATTCCAAAACATTTCTCGAAAAAGTGTTGAACTCGAACAGTAACAGCTGTTCAATGCTCCTTCGCCTTCACAAACTTACCTTTTCTTACACTTTGCCTCATTTCAGACCTGGTATAAATCACTTTCATACCATGACAATGCCGAAACCAATCGGATCGGAAAAGTACGGACAGGTTCACAAAGATCAAGCAGGTGCGGGGGACAAGCGACCAACAGCCCAACAAATCATCAAAGACAATGACCTCGAGGGAAAGCTTTCTGGCAAGACCATGCTCATAACTGGTTGTTCATCTGGTATCGGTGTCGAGACTGCTCGTGCACTTTCCTCCACCGGCAGTACGCTGTTCCTTACTGCTCGTAATCTGCCGAAAGCTGAAGCTGCGCTCAAGGATATCTTGGAGCCAGGAAGAGTGGAATTACTAGAAATGGATATGAACTCGCTCGAGAGTGTCAGAAACGGTGCGGCCGAATTTCGATCAAGAAATGAAAAATTGGGTGGGAGATTGAATGTCTTCATCGCCAACGCAGGAATTATGGCGTTACCAACTTTGGAGAAGACGGAGGATGGATTTGAAGCCCAGTTTGGTGTAAACCATTTAGCGCACTTCCTTTTGTTCAATCTGGTCAAAGACCTACTGCTCTCGTCTTCATCGCCAGATTTCAAGTCTCGTGTGGTGATGGTGTCGTCTTCGGGACACCTGAGTGGTGGTATCCATCCCGGCGATTACGGATTTGAGAGACCTGACAACGAATACTCGCCTTGGAAGGCATATGGGCAGAGCAAGACAGCAAATATTTATATGGCAAACGAGATCACTCGGCGCTATTCGTCGCGAGGACTTTTTGCCAATTCTCTCATGCCTGGTGGGATTGCCACGGGTCTGCAAGTCCATGTCTCTGAAGAGACCAAGATAGGATGGTCCATGGATAAGAACCCTATGGTGAAAAGTATTCCACAGGGTGCTTCGACGACGGTATTGGCGGCTGTGGGTAAAGACTGGGAAGGTGTTGGAGGAAGATATCTTGAGGATTGTCAAGAGTCTTTGCCGAAGGGCGACAAGGGCGATAATAAGTATTTTGGCTATGATAAACATGCATTTGATGAAGAAGCCGAGGAGAAGTTTTGGTCTGATTCTTTGGTCATGATAAAGTTGGAGGGGTAGAATGTAGTCCGGCAAGAAGGAACAGTTTTGGGGAATTTGGAGCAGCTAGCTTTTAGTAACAGCCCCCAGAATGCTTACTTTAATCATTGTGATTCTTGCCGATTGGATAAACATGAGAACTCTGTTGTAATGACACCTATATCCAAAGACATACGTGATGGTTCCGACGTAATGAGCGGCTCTTCCGGTGTTGGGCATATTTGCCGCTGAAAAAATCTGTCTGTAGGTAACAAAGTAGCGATTATATCGAAATTTGACGACTTTTGTAGAGAAGATCAGGTGGTAGCTTTCTTAAAGCAACCGTCACGCAAACCCCGCTCAAAAAAGTAGCAGCTTTGTCGCGGGGTTTGGATTTGATTGTCAGCAAGCGTTATTGGCATCCTGTCAACAACTGGTGCTAAAATATCCAAAATCCATCCCTTTGAACTGCGTAAGATTTGTGAAGCGATACATTAACCAGCTAGTCCCATGTTCCTAGTATACCGGTCTGCCCAATTTTTGAAGCTAAGGGCTCTCATGATAATTTAGAGAGTCATCGCTTGAGTACACATCAGTCGCCAAGCTAGTGAATACTTTTTCCGCTCGGTGATAGCCCAATGATCCCCTATATCATATGACTCCTCTCCCGCATCTGGAAGATTTACAGTACCCTCGCTCCGTCATAAGAGTGGCTTCTCACGGGTAGATGCTTTCATCCTCGGAAAGGCAGAAATCTCCGCAGCCGGGGCTCAATATACACCACGCATATGAATATGGAACGCCGCTGGCTGATAGCTATTCACAAATCGTTCGAGCATGGGTTAGCTATCCAAGAAAACCTTTTGTAGGACTTGCTAACACGCTACATTTGTTACCAAATGATACTTTCCACCGCCGGTACCCTCTTTCGCTGCAATGTTGAGAGGTCTAGCAACAATGTGGAAAAATTGGCGCTGCGCAGGTAGCAATCGGTTCAGTCCTTTCTGCGGCGCTTCGCGGCGTATTCGATCGCGCAAGATAATACCACCCAGAGTTCTAAACAGATCGGCTGAGGTGATGGACGGAGAATTGACATAGTGGCAGCACACCGACGTCGATAGGCAAGTTCTGTACGACACCGTAGCAGGCGGATTGGGCAGGCTCGAGGCAGGGCACCAGGTGGGGGGTTGCAGATTCTACACCGCCCACGACCCGGCAGAAATATTTTAGTTTAAGGTTACTGCGTGAAGGCCGGACGTTCATTGCTCACTGGACCCCCATCCATTCGGCGGAAGCCAAGTCATATTCTTAGACTGTTATCCTTCTTCAATTCGCGAAATCTGTCGTTATTTGTCTATCTGTTCCATCTTTCATCTGTTCTTCTGTCACACACTGACAGCGAAGAAATCTTGACTCTCAAGGACTCAAGGACTCAAGGAGGCGCACAGCACAGTCAGCAAGAGTGTTACGGCTCAGGCATCCAGTACCAGAAAGGCACAGACGATGGTAGAAGAGGATATTTTGGTATGTCTGTATCTGCTACCGGCTGTGTATGGCGGATGTTACCCATTTCTTGGTCCTTCTCATTGTGGAAGTTCTACGGTCAAATCAACTGGGTATCGAACGGAAAATGTTGCTCAGGTATCATCGGCACCTTCATGCGTTGACATGGTACTGCGGCAACAGATGCCAAGAACTTGACATAATATTTCCAACAGGTTGCCCCAGTTGGTAAGCGGAGAATAGCCAAAAACCATTATTTAAATCGCAGAGTTCATCTGAATTTTGACTGGCATCCAAACGCTCGTCATAACAAAAATGGCAGTCTACACTGAACTCCCCCAGAGCCTAACAGAGGTTGATGTGATTATTGTGGGAGGTACGTGGAGGCGCACTAGCCTTTGGAATTATGACGACGGATAATATGCTGAGATTCTGAAGGTGGAACTGCTGCGTGCATCATTGCCTCGAGACTCAGTGATGCCGATGCTGAATTGACAGTACTAGTTATTGAGAGCGGGCCAGATAATCTCAACGATCCTGCAGTCGTTCATCCGTTGCTCTTCCTGAGTCATCTTCTGCCTACCAGTAAGCGGACCATATTTTATCAAGGTACAGCAGAGGCACAACTCGGGGGTCGTAAGCTCGTCGTCCCCTCTGGAGGGTCGCTTGGAGGAGGATCATCTATCAATTTGATGATGTACAGCCGAGCACAGCGATCGGACTGGAATGATTGGGGGCCTGGCTGGTCTGCTGAGGAAATGATACCATATCTCAAAAAAGTTCGGTCTTGTCAATCGTGGTTACAGCTATATGCTAACTCCATTTCAGCTGGAAACTTACCACGGACCTAACTCAGGATCCACACACGGATTGGAGGGTCCAACATTGATATCTGGGGGCACTTACCGTGCACATAGATCAGAAAATGACTTCATTCAAGCTGCTAATAAAGTCGGCTACCCAGAAATTGAAGACTTACAAGATCTAGATTCCAATAATGGCGTCCAACGCGCCTTGCGATTTATCGGCCCAGACGGCAAACGGCAGGATACAGCCCATAGGTATCTTCACCCCAGACTACAAGATGGAAAACATCCAAATTTGATGGTTCTTGTAGAGTCTCAAGTCTTACGGATCTTGTTCCAGGGGACTAAAGCTTCTGGGATAGAATATCAACCTAACCCAGCTTTCCAGAGCAGTGGCACCAAAAAGCGTATCGCCGCAAAAAAGATGGTCATTGTGTCAGCTGGTGCTCTGGGAACACCTCTTGTACTTGAGAAATCAGGCGTCGGAGATCCTGAGGTGTTGAAACGTGCTTCTGTCCCCGTCGTCGCGGAGGTTCCTGGAGTTGGTAAAGAATATCAAGATCATCACTTGCTGGCCTACCCGTATCATACCAGTCTGGACGCTGATGAGACTGTCGACGCTCTTACTGGGGGTCGTCTCGACATTCCGGAATTGATTGCGACCAATGCAAGCATTTTGGGCTGGAATGCACAAGATGTTGGTGCAAAGATTCGGCCAACCGATGCAGAAGTCGATGCTCTAGGGCCAGACTTCAAGGCCACCTGGGATCGAGACTTCAAGAATAATATCAACAAGCCATTGGTCTCGATGGCATTAATAAGCGGGTAATGCGACTCTTTCCACAGTTTATCGTGTGTTCTAATCGAAGTTAGCTTTCCAGGTGATCCGACAGGCCTTCCGGTTGGACAATATATCTCTTTGAGCACCTTTTCTGTCTATCCTTATTCTCGCGGTCATATTCACATCAATAGTACCAACCCTAGCGACGCTGTTGATTTTCAAACTGGTTTCTTTCTCAGTCCGATCGATGTTACTAAGCACGTTTGGGCATATAAGACTCAACGAGAAATAATGCGACGTATGGCAACGTATCGCGGTGAACTAGCTGTGGGGCACCCCCCCTTCCCTCCGGAATCCGATGCCGTATGTAACAAAACCGACGGACCACTTACGAATGTGCAAAACATCAAATACACTGTAGAGGACGATGCGATCATTAGGACGTGGTTAATTGACAATGTTAGCACGACCTGGCACTCTTTGGGCACCTGCAAGATGGCGCCTCTTGCGCAGAGTGGTGTGGTGGATTCGAACCTTAACGTCTATGGAGTCCAGGGCCTTAAAATTGCAGATATGAGTATTCCTCCTGGGAATATTGCTGCCAATACTGCCAACACGGCATTTGCTATTGGTGAGAGGGCAGCAGACATTTTCATTGATGAACTTCGGCTGGGAAAATCTCCTTAGATGATGAAAACGACGTTACCTTAAGTCGGGTTCAGAAGATTAAGCTAGGTTGAATCACACATTGCAGGATTTCCTAACTAAGAGCATGTTTAAGGACAACTGCAGGTATTCGAATTCGATTTTTATCTTCCGGTCAAGCCATGGGCTTTTCTTCGTTGTGCAAACACTTGAGAGTCCAATACCCCATGAAAATGTGCTCATTGACTAGCCTAGGCTTATAATTAGGCAGAAAACGAACGCAAGCAGTAATCGATACTGTTTGGATCCTGCAACCTCTGCGCAATTTCTTTAGGTCTCATGACAAACCCGGCACATGTGTCAGAATCTTGATTGCTCCGGCTTCACTTGCACCTGCTCATCACATCAGATATTTATCAGGGAACTGACTAAGCTTCAATTCGGCTCGCAGAGGGCAAGAAATATCTATGTGCATAACCCGCCGACTAATGACTTTTTAGACTATACCTAATTCTACAGGGCCTTTTCATTCATTCACAGAATTTAACAGGTCCGTATTTATTTACTTGCAGCCTGATGGAGTAGTTAATGTTGTATCTAGTTGATCTTTATGTCGGCAGTACAGAGAGACATCTTTTTTTTTCTGTTATTTCCTACGTGTATTCTGGCTCATTTTCCAACACCAGGAACAAAAGGCCAACAGGCGTTTGCCAACTTGCGAATATAACCTCTTACAGCGAGGAAGAGTCAAATGTAACCACGCGCTCTAGGGTCCACTGGGTTTGTCTTGTCGTGCAGGAAGGCTGGACTGCCGCTGCAGCGCCAATGCTAAGATCCAATTTTGAGTGGGTATGAGCAAGTAAACTGGGGTAGTCCCTCTGAGAACATATGAGCAAATTCACGCGGGGAATTAAGCGAAATATCGACGCTGTCTAAATTTGACGTCCCAATTTACAGATGAAATATGTCGAAGATAACGATACCTGCCAAGAAAACCTGTGGTCTATTGTTTCCCTCTGAGCCTTAGACGTGTATTTCACTTAGTTACCAGAATCTCTTTCCATCCGTTCGTCAATCGAAAGACAAAATTCAACATGTCGGTCCTTGAAAAGGTCAAAAAGGATTACAGCACCTCTGCAATCACATACAACGATTATTCCAATCTTCCTTCTGGGCGACTTGAATCTCAATTAATCCGGATCGCTCTTGGAGATTGTGCAAACCTCAAGTAGTTAAAACATTCTCCCGGTTCATTTCATCGATTTCTTTTTTCAATACAAAAAAACACTTTCTGACTTCGTCAAGAATCCTTGATCTAGGAGGTGGTACTGGCCTACACGCCCGACAAGCAATAGAATTAGGAGCAGACTGCGTTGATGTGGTTGATATTTCGCACGAAATGCTACAAATGGGCCGAAATGTTGAAGCTTCATTGAACCGCAGAGACTTGATTCGATTTTACGAAGCAGACGTCTCCAAGTCAATTACTCACCTCCCACTACGCAGCGGCGGGTACGATGTTGTTATGGCAAATTGGATATTCAGCTTTGCTGAAAATGTAGATGTGCTAGAAGGAATGTTTCGCAACATTGTCGCCTATCTCAAGCCAGGCGGCCGTTTTATTGGGGTGCGCGATGCAGATCCTTGGAGTCCTGCGCTTAGGAATGGCAAGTATGGCGGCTCATGCACTTGGATCGATAAAATACCAGGTGGGGTCAAATACCTGTGTGTGCTTCATTGTGAGCCTCCTATAGAATTTGAAGGTGTTTCACTAGAGGTCATCTACTCCGGGACTTCTGAGATGTACGAGAGATTTGGATTGTCCAATATCACTATCGTGCCGTACGAGAGTGCTGAGACTGTACAGAGGAATCCCGACTTTTGGGAACTGTTTCTAATCCGGCCTAATCTAGCTGTCGTTCAAGCACTAAAGGCATTGAACTGAAATGTTCTGATAAGATGTAAGACTTTAAACAAAAACACGTCTCGAGCTATACGAGCACATTAGAATAGTGTCTTGTTTTGCATGAGTGGTTCATAATGGGTTCCAATTTGATATAATCTTTAAATTCCAGATCAATTTTCTCCATAAAAAACAAAAGCTCTAACCTCAATACTTTGCCTCGGGCCTGTGGAGGACTTGTCACCCAGGTCAAAAGAGCAGTGCGGCACAGAGAGGTTTTGACCTCTACGGGAATCATAACCAGCAAAAATAGCGAGTTCCAAAGCTGACTGATCTGGTATGTAGTACCATTCATGGCTTGGATTATAAAGAACCTGATAGACCTCGTTCGCTACTGTTGGGAAAACCTCATCAACTGCTAAGAGATCGTTTTGGGGGTCCATTGTTTTTGCATCGCAATACGCCATAGGGTAATCTCTTAGTGGACCTTCAAGTGGCTTCCAAGCACTTGATACTCATACTTAGCCGCGTATTTGCATACAAATTGGTAAGGAAACGTACTTTACAATTTGAAACCATTGTTTCCCATAATTTTCCGCCTTCTCTTTGAAATACTGATGGAGTCTGCCTTTTATTTCGTCCTCGGTATAATCTTTGACAGCTAGTTATTATACGTACTGTATATCATGAATCTTTACTAACCAATGTGAGCAGATAGAGCAGGCTGAGGTGCATTGTCATCAGTTTTGGGCTGATATGGAAATGATGGTTCACGCTTTCTGATCATGTAATCGAAGATAAACACATTCTGTGCGCCCAGTGTCTGACGAAGACAGTCATGTACTGACGGGAGATAATGTTTTTCTATCATTTCCTCGTCATCGAATTCTTCTTTTGAAATACAGTCGGGCAGCGTAGCGATGGATAATCCATTTTCGACAAAGCTTAGACCTGCAGTTCTGAGGTTGTTGATCTTGATCCCAGGGAAGAAGTCGATGACGAAATTGCTGCGGGCGATCTCTGGAGGTGTAGAGTAGTTCAGGATATACGCTTTCTCGTTCAAAAGAGCTTCGTTGTCGGCTCGAGCGTACCTAAGGGTCGATGTTACAGATTGATTCATTGTTCCAAATAAACGAAGATTCTTTGCGGAGATTCCTAAAACAATCGAATAAATTATTGGTGGTGTCGTGTCAAGGACGGTCTAATAACATTCAATTGGAGTTGGGAGAGAGTATGTTTAATTGTTCAATGTGACAATAGTTTCAATTTAGCGGCCACATGCATGTCTGTTTGCCGATTTGTGATTACACATATTAAAATTATTTCATGTCGAGTTGAGATCCTCGTGACAAAGCCACCAAAGTAAAATGGGCATAACTATACACTTAAGAGCTGGTTTGAGCGGATTGCTGGGAAGAGGTAGAATTTCTACCGGTCTTTACATACTTGGCAGTACGCTTTTGAACATGCGTACATTTGAGAAGATTACATTGGAGTCATGGTATGCTGCATCAGTTACTTGGATGGTGGGAGGAGAAGGGATAAATGGAGACAAAGATGTGGAGGGTGGTCGCTTGGTCAACAAGCAGTAGGGTGAGATTGGTCAATATGTTTTCTATTCCAAAAAATCTCGTGGGGTACATGAGCTTATTGATATCTTATGGTTGCAATTGTGCTACGAAACAGATATCACACGGAAGGTGGACTTCCACCATAAGCTCGGAAGACGACCTAGCCGTAGATTTAGAACAGTATAAAGGCGAGAACAATTTCTTGAAATCCGAAATCCATACTTCCTCCCCATCAAAACACAAACTCAGATCAGCTTTCAGACAAAACTACCTAGCTTTGCTCTTTTATTTGAAACCCCAAGCAACGATTATGCCTTCCTCTCAGATTCAACAAAAGACCCAGCCATGGAAGAAATTTTGGCCACCACAAGTCGACGCCGCTTCTCCTCAAGCCAAACAGACTCCGGAGGAGATGAACCTCCAACGATCCTACGGAACGCACGCTTCCAACACTAAAGGCAAAATCTTTGCCATTGATAACAAGCCTAAGTGTAAGTACGGAATCTCAGCGGAAACAAGAAAATGCTGACATGAAGACATCGTAGCCACTTGAGTACTCTCAAATGGGAGACTTCAGCATTGGAACTAGAAGTGAACTTAGTTGGAGTATAGCTTTGGATTTACGCAGAGTCTAGAAAACATCAACACTCTTTTAGGAGATCGGGAAAGGTGTGGTTCAAGCGCTGTTGATACTAATGTCTATCAAAATGGAAGGATGGTTCAACAATCAAATTAAATGAAGTCTTTCCACTCTGCCCTACTAATCTCGCAGTGATATCCTTTTCAAACTAGTGAATTGTGCGTTAAGTTTATTTGAGTAGATTGGGAACTTACTGCTATTGATATGCTAAGGCGTTCATGCAATGTCTGTTTATTTTTCCGAATCCGGTTTGAAATTCTAAGCAAGTTTGGTGAATTGCATAACAGATATAGTAACTAAGACACAAGATATTCAAAGCCTGCCTTTTATAAATTGGCTTCATTGCCTTAGTCTTCTCCAGAGTGTGGTATCAATTTCAATTTATTATATAACTCGGATAGTTTCCCAGCGAGCGATGCGATCAAGTTATTAGATCATTTCATCTTGATTTTTAGAATCGTATGAATGTGGCTTTCTAGTGTCCGAATGAGAACTGCGATCGATTGAGCCAAACCCTGAAAGCCTCGAGCTCAGGTTGTACGATTTCGTTGTGGGTCGATGGGGCTCCTGATACTTAATAAGCGAGGCCCCCTTTTCACTTGCTCTCTTATAAGACTTTGTAACTATTAGACTTCGTGACCTCACTTCGCCACATTGCACTTCTTCATAGTCTGTCCCCAGCTAATGTAAATATGTATGTTCAAGTCATTCCCGGAGACATTGTATAACACAGCAGATGTAAAGCAGTAGTCACCGCCACTACTAGATCGCCTTTACTCTTGTCTCAGCAGAACTGTCGCATCAACGCCGTGTAACACTATACCCCTACGAGTTTATTTATACAATAATATGTTTACCGCAAAAATCTGCCAAGGCTCTTTTTTGAGTGGCTTAAATGCAACGTCGAAAATTACTGCGCTGCTGGCACCCATGAAGCCCCACACGTATTATCCTACAAGCCTGTCGGTTGGTGGTTGGCTTAATCTGCGCATTATTGCTCAACTGTCAGCTGCAGGACCAAATGGAGTAAACGCAATCTTGGAAGTTTGCTAATTCGTTAACGTTTTGTTTGCGTTCAGCTCCATCGCTGCCGCCGCCAAAAATGTCCTCATATTCCCTCATCCAAGAGAGTGGCAGAAAAGGCATGGGATTTTCGGATAGATCAATATCTGACTTCCATACTCTTTTCTTTACCCTGATGGTCTAATTATTAGGTAAAAAGGAAGCAGTCTTACAGGGAGAAATTACAGCTACTAGCATTTAGAAGGTTAAGAAACAACTTTCAGATCAGCTTCAGCTGGCCATACGACATCTTGTCATCCCAAAGATACAAGAGAAGCGTCCCCCCCCCCGAGCGGGTGTTGATATCATATGACAATCTGACAGACTTGGGAATTGGAACAAGATGAATCTGCCGCTGCTCTTCGTACTGTGCTTAGTCGCCAATTCTTCCGCAGCCCATCTCGAGGATCCCCACTTTCCAGGCTATGGTTTTCACTGGTATGATCCAGTTTGTGGCTACGCTTGTTACAATGCGCTCTCAAGCGCGACACTTTCATGTTCGCCCGAGGGTAGTTCGTCAGTAGCTTGTCAAGCCAAAGACCCTGCCTTCTTGAAGAGTTTGGCATATTGCATGAACTCCGCTTGCGACAACGACGAAGTACCAACATGGAAGAGAGAGAAATTTTGGGCTGCAACCTTCATGGTCATGAAAGAAGACGAAGTTATGCACGGCATGACAATGGGAGAAACGTCCGGCCTACCTAGTTGGGGATATACCGACGCCCTCTCGGAGGTTTCCGAGGAGCCTGTGTTAGTGTTCAACTCTCGCTCAGGAAATATTTTCAACCAGACCATGCTGGTTAGTAAGGCCGATTACGAGAAACAACGCAAATTCATGGTTATGTTTGACTACCTGGAAGTTTTGCAGGCGAGATACATGTATGAGATGCCCAAATTCCATATACGTGAAGTTTAAACTAATTTCTACATAGCTTTGTGATTTTGACAGTTGCGCTCGGAACTCCTATACTCCTTACGCTTCTTCCTAAACTACCTATAATAGAGGTGCTCGTCGACAGAATCAACCCTTATCTGGTGTATCCTTCGACTTTTGGCACCTATAACGTTCGCCCGCTTCCTTGGGGCCTAGGAAGTGTCCCAACTGTTGGGCAGGCGCTCTATATCGTCATGCTCTTCGGTCTCAATATCGTCTTGTGCTCCGTCAACTACTCGAACTCACAGCCCCATCCTTGGTACTTTACACGCAAAGAAGAGACCCTCGCATATATCGGCTATCGAACAGGACATGTTGCTTATGCTCTTCTGCCCCTTCTTATCCTATTCTCTTCGCGTAACAACGTTTTGCTCTGGATTACGAGCTGGTCTTATTCGACGTATCTTTTGATGCACCGTTGGGTAGCCCGAATCTTTGCAGTCCAAGCTATCGTTCATAGTATTACATTGTTGGTAGCCTACAAAGGCTCCGGTGGCTATGAGACCGACTCCAAGGAGCCGTACTGGCTGTGGGGAATTGCAGCAACAGTGCTCACCTGTGCGATGCTCGTTTTCAGTCACCTATACTTTAGAAGGCTATCGTATGAGTTTTTTCTCGTGTTACATATTCTCCTTGCTGTGTTTGTTATTGTCGGGTGCTGGTACCATGTTGTGCTTAAATGGGGGTTCAATTTCTACGATAACTGGCTGTATGCTGCTTGCGCAGTATGGTTCTTTGACCGCATACTTCGCCTGTTCCGTGTAGCCAGGAACGGCGTGCGTCGAGCCGTTGTCACAGAATTAGGCTCAACCCATGTGCGTGTCGACATACAAGGTCTAAGATGGGCCGGCAAACCAGGTCATATAGCGTTTGCTTATTTCCCTGGTCTTAATCCTCTACGACCATGGGAAAACCATCCATTCTCTATTAATTCGACGTCACTGTTCCGAAGTTACAAGTCCTCGCTTGCATCCGCATCTTTGTCGCTCGGACAGTCATCGAACGACGTCAATCATGAGGAGAAATGGTCGGGAGAGCGAGTGCAAACTATCGCCAGGCAAGATGGGGGCGAAGCTGTGGGCACAACCGGTGTCACATTGATCATTAAGAAGAGTAGCGGCCTAACGAGGTTGTTACGTTCGCATGCTCGGTTGCTGACTTTGCTAGATGGTCCATACCCGCAAAATCAGTGTTCCGAGATATTGACATGCGATCATGTTTTATTGATTGGTGGCGGAATCGGGATCATGGGTCTAGTTGCCTGGACTCGGGCACATCCTAATATTAAATTGTCGTGGAGCATCAAATCGACCTCTCAAGCGCTTGTTGAAGAGATGGATGTTGTCTTGCGGGAGGTGGCAGATAAGGAAGTAGTGGTTGGGAACCGGCTGAACATAGCCGAGTTATTGAGAGTCGAAGCTGAGTCTGGATACGGGAAAGTTGGTATTGTTGTTTGTGGCCCGGGAGGAATGTGTGACGATGTTAGAGCTAGAGTCGCAGCGTTAGGAAGAGTTGGAGGGACAGTCTTCAAGTTAGAAGTGGACGCGTTTTCGTGGTGATTCAGCACATGAATAGAGGACACAATAGAGGACACAATATTGATATTATTCCTTCAAAGCGATCAACGCTATATTGTTGAGAATTACAACGTGCAGCAAATTTTAGCGTACTGCAAGCGCTGCAGACTTGCGTTTCGAGTACGAAAAATAGTTGGTGTTCGTTTCTTGTTCTATACAACATGGAGTATCGCCGCATGTCTCTGAGTCCTTTCTCGCTGGGATCCTAACGACAGGGAAAGGTTTGATCGCGGCCGTAACTTGACTATATCCTTAGCTTCGAAGTAGAGTCTCTGTCGCTTTTACCCAACAATTGGACAGGTTATTGACCAGTCTTCATACCTACCATACTGCGTTCAAACAGGAAAGTCGAGATTGGTGTGACAATCAGCTCAACATAAGATATTTCTTGCTGCAAGACCATGCCCAATGTGATTTCAAGGAGAATTGCAAGCCAAATGACTCTTTATATGTGTATGTCTGCTAGTGCCTGTCCTGAGGAGCGATTAAAATCACATTCGCGAAAATCCAACATGTCGAGACAATCTTTTCCAACTTCAACCTGGGTGGCTGCCGCGCCATGATCCGATAAAAAGGTGTTCTACTAAAATATAATCTTTTGGGTGTGTATTCTCGTGTGGGAGCCATCCAAAACAGTCTTTAGGTAAAACCAAAACGTCGCCGATCTGTCTTGGTTCCTGAAGCCCGTTGAGCTCGTCGCCAGTGTGCTCCTCACCCGATATGTGTTTGAAATATTTCATCATCACATCAGTAAAGACGAATGGTCCGGTAGTGGTCATGACTTCTTCGAATGTGTTGGAAGGGTTCGCTCCTGCCTTGGACGCCATGAGGCTTCGAATATTTTCGGATACCCTGTCAACCAGCGTGACCATAGCTGGGTGATTCGGTTTTGCAAGAATGGTGTACTGCGCAAGCTGTACGGAATAGGGCGAACCTGGCCAGATGGGCTGCTTATTGTGATCATTCTCGATGCCAACAACCATATTTACAGACTCTCCGAATTCTGGGGGAGTCCACTCCGTGATCGGCTTGTGAGGTAGCACGTCGATATCAGCCCAGATCCCACCGTCAGCTCTCATGACCATATATCTCAGCATGTCCGCTCGCATGATAGGATCCGTGAGGTTGGAGAAGGTCTCCACGATGGTCGGAAGGTGTGAGAAGCGTGTGTGGACATAGGTCTCCATATTGGCGTCGGTGATGCGCTCATACTGGTGCTGCGGGTTCATCACACGCCACTGATGTGGAAACCCCGTCGTCCGTTCGGTTGGATCTTCGGAGTCATCTTTCCAAGATTGCCAGATCTTTTTTGGAAATGTTTGCTGGTTGACAGCTAGAGTGTGGGTGTTGGCAGAGGAGGACTCCAGCCGAGAAGAGGTAGTGTAGAGGGTGCGTGAGTAGCGTAGAATGAGCAGTATAGTGATAAATATGCCTATGCAAATAGTGCACAGATGCTTTGTATGTAATTGAGGCAGCATGGTATTGGCAGCAACACAAGGTGACAAGACGGACGAACGCAGAATGGAAAAAAAATCCAACGTTTCCTGCTTTCCTTATACCCTCCACGCTCTCTCACGGAGGTGCTTAATATCCAACTGACCCCAGGCCTCTAGGCGGGTGTGATTGGAGTCATTGGACACCCATGTAGCTATCGACCAGGGGTTCTTAGGAGCTTATTATTATTCGCTGGCTACTGTGCTTCGTACTTGTACTGTATTCACCTTGCGCAAGTCGGGTATGCACAGCACAGCCCTGGCGCTTCGTGGTGAGAAGACGACTGTAACAGCGGCTCGCGCAGGTCGTTCGAACTGGCATTCCATCTGATTTTACTGAGACCGTGTTTCCCTGGATCCTCAGTTTATTCAAAGTTCATATCTAATAAGTCCAACATATTATACTCACATAACTCAATAATGTGTTCTCTCCACTTTCGAGCGACTAATGATCCATCCTTTAACACACCTACTTCTCAAAACAAAATAAGGATTTTAAGGGCTTCCATGGTGTCTCCTTCGTCGTTCCAATTAGACTATGAGAACACATTGTGACCTGCCCCAGCATGCACGGACTACATAATCGCTCCAATCCGCGTGCCAGCTGCCGCAGCGGCAATGCACGTCGGCTTCCAACTGCTTTTCTGCTTCATTAGGGGCATGTGTTACGCTATTTGTTGGCTTGGCAGAATTTAAAGGCGCGCAATTGGGCTCGAGGGAAATCCCAACGGCCTCCTGCAACATGAACTCTGGCAACGCATCACCGGTGCTATTTATGTCGAATCATGCAGGAGCAAGCAGTTTGATATATATGTATAGAGAAGTCCTTGGTCGCTACCCACCGTTCATCATGCACCTGGTCGCCAGAATTCCGATACATATTTCCACGCTATGGGGGCCCGTATCATTCATTCATTATTGTCTCTGTGGTTAGCTTTATCACGGTTACCACGGAACGTGATGGCTACGGATGGCAAATGTTTTTTCCCGAATGGCCTACAGGCTACCGGCAATTCTCCTTGCAATGTACACGCGACAAATAGCGTTTGTTGTGCTGGCGGTATTGGCAGTAGTTGTCTCGCCAATGGACTGTGTCGTAATGGAGATGGACATCAAATTCGGGGTGCTTGCACAAATTCCAACTGGGATGGATGTCTGGACATTTGTCTTGGTGAGTAGAACCCGATTAGGGTTCTAATAATCTCTCTTGGAGGGTTCCGGCTGACTTTGAATTTGCAATAGCCGCATCGACTGGTGGCACCGATGTTATCTCGTGCCAAAACTCTACCAACACAGACACCTCATTTTGCTGCGATCATGTCTCGTTGTGTTGTGACAGTGGCATTGGTCGGTTCGATCTACTGCCTCGCGAGTCCTTTATCTCTGCCACTTGGAACTCTGCAAGCACGCAATTTGTGGTCATCTCGGCGGTCTCATCTACCGTGGCTACCACAAACTCTCGGTCCACTGTCAGAACATCGTTGGCGAGTTTAATAACCACTTCAACACTTCAACTCTCCTCGGAAAGAAGCCAAACGCCCGCTTTCACGAGCTCTGATTCTACCACAATTGCAGCCGGCATCAGCACTAGTTCTGCAACAGGCACCGCTTCTGTCTCGAGGGGACCTTTTTTGAGCGTCGGGGCGAAAGCGGGGATAGGGGTCGGTGTAATTGCAGGTGTTTTTGTAGCTGCACTTGTTGGATATCTGATGTGGAGGTTACGTGCAGTGAACGTAGCCCTTATCAAGGAGAATGTTCCCTCAAAGTTGGACCAACCAGATCTACAATTACAACAGGCCGAGATAACAGCAAACAAGCCAGGACTTTCTTACAATCAGATGCATGCTGTACCTATAAGTGAACTAGATAGTACGACTAATTATAGGCAGCTAGAACTACCTACCTAGATAGCTAACTACTATAGAATATACTAAAGCCCTGCTTACTTACTGTTAATAGACGTTAATTCGTAAATATTTAACGTTTTAGAAAAGAAAAGATAGGAGAATTGAAAAGAAGAGAAAAAGAAGGACTAATCTAGGGCTTCTCATCTATCTAGGTACTCCGAAAAAATGCTTACTATCATCTCCATACCCCGGCCAGTCTTCATAACCTATATATCTCTTAGTAACGCTTCCAGAAATCCCAAAGACATGTTTGCTATCATCCCCATATCCTGGCCAGTCTTCAATGCCAATCTCCCTCATTCCAATCGAGCGTTTCCCAGCCCCATGGCAATTGCCAGCTCCCGACCCGCCAGCACTTTGCAATGCTCTACCAACGCAGGCCTTGGTTCCAATCGGCAGCTGTCCGGATGCATACCATTGAAACTTGACATCATCTGGTGTCTGCTCAAATTTCCACTTACTAATCGCTCCACAGCCTGAGATCTCCTTCTTGAGACCCTCGCCATCGGCTCCGAATTGGGCAGATGGCAGATTCTTGCCACGGACTTCGAAGGCGTCGAAGAAGAATTTGTAGGCGACATCGCAGGAAATTTCGTTTATCTGCTTGCTGAGAGGCGTCATAGTGAATTCCCATCCATCGCTAGAAGTAAATGTGCCTCCGAACTTGTAATTGTGAGGATTGTTGACCGGGTCGTTTCCATCGCAGCCGTCAACCACTGCTTTAAGAGCGTTAAAGCAATTTGTTCCTGGTGGTGTATTCTTGGGACCTTTATCTTCATTATTGGCAGCCTTGACAGACATCTTAAGTTCGTCCACGCTTCCCGGATTGTAGGTAACCTCTGTGGAGTCTTGGTTGCAAAATTCATCTGCATTCTTGCTTGCAGTGTCCGAGTGCATAACCCAGGTATCACCGCTAATGCCGTGGCATGCGTTCTTCTCCAGAACAACCGTCGGAGGAGGTGGAGCTGGAGGTGGAGGTGCGGGTGTTAAGAGGCCACCCATATCATCCGTGTACTGATCCAGAATCAAATTACGAATTGTTTCGTGCAACGCAGGCTGAGGATGGAAAACCTTCACCCTGTTGCCAACAGAAATCCAAAGTGGATCTTGAATTCCTGTTTCGTTAATATGAGCATAGACTTCGTTTTCGAATGAAGAAAAAGTTGGAAATTTGGACTTAACGCTTGGATCGGACATTACTTGGCTGTAGGCGTCGGTCAGTGGTTGAAGGTCTGGATTTTCCGCGCGTTCGTTGTATGGGTAGTGCCACAGCCAGAGTTTCTCATTATTTTGATCAGGCTCTTTGACTCCTGGCTCGCAGTACCTATGGCCTTCCATTTGATCATCGATGGGAACAAACTTGACGTTCTGGTCCTTATGTTCCTCGACGGCTGCTGCAATGGCTTTGTTGAGACCAATACTCATGTCGTTATACTCCTGTCTGATCGCCTGGGTGAGTTTCGTATGCTCCTTTCCGTCGGGATTTGGATTGGCTGTGCGAGCGAACGTGACTGTATCGCACTCCGTCGTTTCGGTGTCAAAGAATTGTGGAAATCCAACGACGTAAAGCCTGAATTTGTCCTTAATCGGGCCTTTGCGGCCCTTTTCGACAACTTTCTGGATGGTGCTACTAATGTTGGTTACGAGCTGAGGGTCCTTAATCAAGCCTTTAGAAATTTTTCTTTGCTCGTCACAAGTATGATATGTTGGGCCAGCACCCCAAGGTAGGCTGGTCTCTATGATACAGTTGAATATGATACCGGGAAAATCAATGTTATTGCCGCCCACCTGTAGCGTTGCGATTTCTGGTGTGCCAAATGCTGGCCGATCACCTGCATAGGGGTCAGCAGAGAAAACTACCATTCTTGAAGTGAAGGAAAAGCTTACCGTACTGACTGTTAGGTTTGCCAGAGGTGGGTTCGTCGAGGAGTTGCCAGGCTTCGATATCTTCGGTATGAGAGCCAGAACATACAACATTGTTGAATGTGATAGTTACATCTTTGTGATCACCATTTGGTAGTCGTTGATCGTTATTCATCAAAGCTGGATAGGCTTTGTCGTAACGTAGACACCGGTAGGAATTGCTAGTATACTCTCCTGCTCCAACCCCTGAGGCAAACGAATCTCCAAGAGCAGTCCACTCAAATTTGTCTCGGCCAGATAGCTGCTGAATCTTCTTGACTCTTTTTCCAGAGGGAGAGGCAAAAGATATCGACCAAGTCACTGAAAGTGTAAGCGCTATAGTTAGGCGCCTGAAAAGGACCACCATTGCGCCTCTCTGAGGTTATATATGTGCAGGAAATAGAAGAGAGAATGATCGTACAATGATGAATATTGTTGATTTACCAAAAGCTCTTTCCTTCGACCCTCTTTCTTATATACATATTCCATACCTTCATTGCCTCACAACTGTATTTACGTTAGGGTACCTCGCCAGATCCTCTTCACCAACATCAGAGTCAAATAACAGGCTGAGGCGGTCACCAACATCCGACTCAAACATGAGCCCGAGGCGGCTTGTGCTATCTATTTTCTGTTCTCTATGCTGAAATTTCAGCATCATACGCCGAAGCAGGCCATGACCCCCTTCGTTATCAGATTACGCTCATCAATGGGTCAAAAGAAAATACTTAATTACATACACCTATTCCTTTCCCTCCTACGCATGACTGAAATCTTTGTTTCATAGCATGGTGCGTGGCGATGCACATGTTGGTTTGTTGGTTATTTTATTCCTCTGTTTGGTGGCAGAGATCTCTAGGAGGAGTCCTCTCCTTTGCATTATCGATCCCAAATCGAAAACCACCAAAAAAGAGTGCTATGTGTGCCTTGCCAGTAACTCGTGGCTGCTTCAATGTTCTATTAACACCGTCAATCAAACCCCTTTTAGTTTGGCTTTTTTGTCTGCAGTAATATCACGTGACTAGAGAGGAGTGGATTTTACCGGCGAATACGACCGGAGCTTGCGTAGGGCTGACGAAATGAAACAGCGGGCAAGCGAAAGGAGTGTCCAACTAGGGCTACTGACATCTGACGGAGGCTGAGCATTTGGTACTACATACGAGCCACCAACAGATCCAACAAAACCAACAAAACCAACAAAAGTATCTTCTTCAAACGTTAAGGCAATTTCAGAATCGGATTACTCCATCCTATTATTGTCTCTCTTTCAAGAAACTATAGCGAGAACCTCAAAATGCGCACGTCATATCTGAAAGACGCGATAAAGGCCTTATGGTTGTCATTTATTGCTAAGACACTTTCTACTAATAATAATCCTCAAAAGTTTTTTTCTTTGGATAAAGAGATACCCGACGGTCCATTCAGCTTTTGCGATGTCTCTCGCTCGACAGATCTTTTTGACATCTCGTCCATATCTATCACTAAGCAGCCAGTGTATATGTGTGTTTCCTACTCCTTAATTTGGCTAGACTACAATTCTGCAGGAAGATACTGACAAATAACAGAGATGATGATTTTCTTGTTCATCTATACGGAACCTTTCAAAAGACATTTATAGGAAATGGAACCTTTAACATCAAAGTTGATTGCGGCTCACACTGCGAAGATTACGGCCTCCCAGTCGACTGGCCTGGCGAGAGTACCGACTTTCTTTCTTTCTGCGAGATGAGCGACATCGAACAACCTTTAGGCGGCCATCCGAAAAATAAAACCTGCCCCCCTAAAAAGGGGTTTGCATTAATCACATCCCCGGCATATGTGTTTCCTATGTTTATACAGTACCCAGTGAGTATTTCCAAATTCATGTCCTCTCCTTCATCGTACACCGGGTATTTGAATCAAAAAATCTCTAATAAATCTAGGCTTGGTATAATTTCACATTTGAGGCAGAGACAGATGAGGGTGAGCGAATCTACTGTGTTCGAACGGAAGTCTGCTTGCGGTGGAAAGACGAAGAGAAGAATAAGCGCCTTGGTCAAGGACCGGGGAAAGATTGCACATGGCCAAGATAGGGTATACATATTTTTAAAGGCAGGAATTGAAGTTCTCACCACCTTTTAATGATGCCATCAAATGCTGCGTTGTTGACTTCGCATTCGAGAGGTTAGTTGTTGTAACATAGACCGCCTCATTCAACTTCTGTTGGCTCTTAGATCACACACCCAGCTGCACTCTTTAGGATTGTATCGATTTCAAAGATAATGGTTTTGGTCGAAGGTAGCTCTCCTACTTACCCTACCTACATAGTATCAAGAAGAATTCTCAGGTCACAACTTGAGGCACAAACAAGTATTCGTGAATATAGCACCTGTTATAAGTAGCGTAACCAAGTTCGGGGAAAGAGTTTTGCTGGAGGTTGTTTCTCTTAGTTTGGTGCTCGTGAAGCAATTATTTACACTTATTAATTTACCAGTAGCATTAACAATGCAGAACTCAAGAAACTTCACAAAACCGCCTATGAGATGAGGACTCAATAGCCTATTCACATCTTCAAGGTATGGTACGAGGATGTCCCAGCTGAGAAAGCTATATTGCTAATCTAGCCATGCCTATTGTACAAGCAAGCGAATTTGCTGTTCGCTCGAGGAATGTAGTTGCGAGAAATACCCAATAATACACCTGCAATGCTCCTAAACGCCTTTTGTAAATCTAAATATGCGAAAACCTTATCTTTAACGATATCGATCCTTGCTAACCGCTCTAGAACCCCGACGTCTCCCCAAATACCCCCAACTTGCTGGCACTACTTGCCCACGTGCGTACTGCACTGAACCTAACCATTCATTTCTAGTTCTCACATAGTTCTCACATAGTTCCTCGTATGCACGCCATGCTGATTGTTCTGCAGCTCCTAGTCCTCTAATAATTTCCAATCCACGCCGCATGTTGATCGTTGACAATCCATGGAATTCAAATAGCTCTTCATGCCCTTTCGGGAACATTTCTGCTAGAGCCTCTGCTTCAGCAAGAACCCCAACCCTGTCGCTCCTAATTCGCTGGACTGCACAGACTATAAGCGTCATCATGAGGCTGTTGCCACTTTATAAAACATCTGGATGGGTTCCATCATACATATCTTTCCTGTCGTTGAAGGCTCGGCGGCAGTAACCCTCTGCCTCTTGATAATAGCCCAATATACACAGCTCATTGCCGATAGCATCAACAGTATCCAATATCAATTCATGTTTGGGATCAAACTTTGTTTCCCGGTTTTTCAAAACAGAATGATATAACTCCAAGGCTTGTTTTAGTAGAGTCGCTTTAGATAGTTTATAAGTATATATACCAAGGTAAACCGTATACTTAGTGCAGAAATCGGTTACCGGACTTTGGCTAATTTTCGGGCATGTCACGAATTTAGGCTAACAACTGGCGGTGTGTAAACCATACCTGGGTACACTAAAATATAATTGCTGCATTGCTGCAGTGAATAGGGCAACGCAAAGCATTCGATATACACACTGTTCAACTTCTTAACTCCGTCGATTTGCCTAGGAACAGGATGGCACTTAAATGGCGCGGCCAGGACTTGTTCTGGGCGCGATGCAGTACGGATGCGGAAGTCCACGCGATGGGCTCGACCATCTTTCGATTTCTGGACCCTTCGCTTTGTCCAAGCTGCAAAAGGATGTACTTTGATTTCTCTGATCCGCAACCTGACCCTACCACCCACTTCGTGATTCAAGAATTGGTTGGTAGATACTGTGAACTAGAACTACGAGCATCCACAGGTTGTCCTCTCTGCTCGTTTGTCCGGTCTGCATTATTACTAGAGCCACAGCAGGTTATGTCCGCTGAAGAATGGCCGATGAAGCAAGGCACTCCAGTCACTCTGTCCTACGCGCTTCCTCTATGTCAAAAGCTATTGACGGCAAATGACTCTCGTTGGCTACCATTAGTGGTGGTGCTGCGGAGCCAGAACACGGTACACATGGTCAATATGACTTTTATGAGACAACAAAGTACGTACAACGCAATCTGTCTAAACTCAGGGAAAATGCAGGAGCTAAAATGTGAAAAGTGCCGTACGTGGCTTTGACGGAAGATCCTATGGCAGATGTATGCCTGCGTAAGATTAGGTCCTGGCTAGATGTGTGCTCTAAGTCACACAAATGGTGCAAATCTAATGTTAAAGCGTTCATGCCAACTAGGCTCCTCGATCTGGGCGCTTCAGATGATAAGCTTCGTATTCATATCTGCAATGACCAACCACTCAATTACGTAGCTCTGAGTTATTGTTGGGGCGACCAAATGCATGGATCAACAACAACAACAACATCTCGAAATTTCATGTCTAGACAAAAAGGGTTCGATGCAAACATTCTTTCAGAGATATGTCGAGATGCTATCCGTCTTGTTCGTGGCTTAGGTTTACGATATATGTGGATAGATTGTTTGTGTATCATCCAGGACAATAAAATTGATTGGGAATTTGAGTCTGCACTTATGGGATCCATCTATCAGAACGCCTATGTCACGTTAGCAGCGGTAGCTGCATCCTCTGCCTCTGAAGGGTTTCTCAAAGGACGAGAATATACGAGGTTGGCCATCCAATTTGTGTTTCAGGATGGAAATGGAAATGGGGAATTGGTGGATGGAACACTGTTCGCCCATCACCCCGGACCCCAGCCACCATCACAAGCAATTTACAAATCCAAGTGGCGGTCTAGAGCATGGACGTTTCAAGAAGAGATGCTCTCTACAAGTATTCTCTACTGTACCCCAAGTTCATACTACTTTGAATGCCTGGCTGGAGACGAGGTCGAGCAAAATTTGCCTAAACCCGGCCCCAGAAAACAACTGCCATGGCGTGAAGATTTTCGAACAGAAGAAGGTCAGACCTCTTCTATAGCTGTTACTTTCGACGATTGGTATAGTTTGATAGAGAACTACTCTGGCCGATTCGTTACGGTGTGGCAGGATATTCTCCCAGCATTATCTGGTCTTGCTCACATCTTCGCGCAACACATTGGTAGTAAATACATTGCCGGGTTATGGGGAAATGATATAATTCGCGGTCTTCTTTGGAGACATCATCCTGCTCATGCGATACAAGTGCAAAAACAACCATATCGCGCACCGTCCTGGTCCTGGGCAGCAGTACCTGGGTCGACTTATTGGAGGACGTATTATCAATTTACAAAACAACCTAGCTTCAACATTGAAGCCATCGATGTAATGCCGTCCGGAGCAGACGAAATGGCAAGCGTGAAGCATGGTAAACTATCTATTCGTGGGAAACTTGTTCCAGCTTCAGTAATTCGTCAAATTGTTCCCGAAGATGAGCAAAGTGACTTCGATGGAAGTGACTTCCCGCTCGATTGGATGCGGAGCAATGTCGACAATCCTCAATTCTTCTGGGATTTCAAGATGGGATGGGAAGGCAAAGAAGATCTTTCGGAGATTAAGGCAGTACCTATCGGTACCAGAGGTATTTCAGACCTCGAACATCATTTTTTGGTTGGCTTGCTTTTAAAACCAATAAATACAAGTAGTAGAGAAGATGAAGATCAAAATGTCTATGAGAGGTGTGGATATTTCGAGCTCGATGGTATTAGATATTGGCAAATATTCGACTCTTTTCCGATAGATCTATTTCAAATTATTTAGATAGTATGATAGTAGAGTAGAGAATTCTATACTTATCTCTTATTTAGTAAATAAGCTTTAGTACTAATTAGATCTTATCTAAACCTCTAAGCTCTATAATAGCTACTTTTAAGATCTAGTTTTACTTAGAGAAAAAGACTATATATTATAAGATATTAGATTTCTATAAAAGAATAAAGGTTAGATTATATATAATATTAAAGTAAAGAATAATATTCTCTTAAAATATATAGTATTATTCTTTTCTAAACTATAGATAAATTAAAGTCTTCTATTCTATTAAGTAACTATTAATCTTAAGTATTTAAACTTAAATCTACTTTTTAGTTAGTAGACTATAACTTTTATATAGCTATATTTATTATTTATAAAATTAGTATTTATTAATATAAATATTATCTATTAAGAAAAGCTTTATAGTAATATTAGTAGAGATAGAGTTTATAAGTACTAGTATATAATACTAGTTATTAATAAGTTTTAAAATAAATTTTATTATATAATTTAATAATTCTATACTATTTCTAGAGACTTTAATATTAAAGTTAAAAATATATTAAATATTATCTTAATACTAACTAAAGTCTACTATTTACTAATATCTTTTAAGCTAATAAAAGAGTTATAAAAGATAATTACTTAAATTATTATTTAATATATAGTATATTATATATACTAAGAGTCTCTAGAATATTAATAGTATAAACTTACTTAACTTAAGTAGAAGGTTTAAAAGTAATAGTTTTATAATTTTACTATTATAATAAACTTAAAAGTAACTAATTTAAAGTATTTCTTAGTAATAATAACTTCTTAAAAATAGTATTAATTTAAAAAAAGGTTTATTAAATTAAGGGCTATACTAATATATAGTTATATTTTTAATAATATAAAGTTATTATATAATAATAAAATTAATTTTATAAAGCTATATATCTTTTTATTTCTATCTAAAATTTATATAGTAAATATAGTATTTTAGAAATATATATAGACTTCTCTAATAACTAATATCTTTTTTTAAAATCTTTAATTATAGAAATTAGAGATATCTTAATATTTAAATATAGACTTTACTTATATTCTTTCTACTATATACTCTACTACTAGTTTTTATATCTAAATATATATAGTTTTAACTCTACCTCTTATTTATTCTATTTATAGATTTTCTACTTAATTATTTTGCTATTACTATTACTATCTAATTACTTAATAAAGATAGTACTTAGTTTCTTAATTCTTATATACTCTTTTATACTTAGCTTTTCTTAAAGATATACTATACTAATAATTTAGATAGTTTAACTATTTTTAGTTAAGTTTATTATATAATAACTTTATATTATTAAAAATATAACTATATATTAGTATAGACTTAAATTAATTATAATATAAATATATAGATTACTAATAACTGTTAATAGAAGAGTATTATACTAAGAAAATAAAGTAATAATAATTCTTTAATCTATATACTATAAATTATAATAAATTTAATATTAATAACTATATTATTAAAAATATTAAATTACTTAAATAAGTTATTAGATTATATATTATAATACTAAGACTATATTAGTATTATAAAAAGGTATTACTTATTATAAGTATAATACTATATCTAGAATTTATAAGTTATAGTAATAGTAAGATAAGTTAATTAATACTAATTAGTTTATATATTTAAATTAAGTAAAATTAATTTTAATTATAACTAGATCTAAAGAACTATAATTCTTAGAGTATATAAATAGTAACTAAAGTAAGTAGTATTAACTATATATTATTAAGAGACTTTAAAGAGAACTTTAAAAAATAGAATATAACTAAGTTCTAGAAACTTTACTAATTTAGAAGAATCTTTCTATAAATAGTACTTTATTATAGTAGAGTATATATACTAGACTATAATAAATTATATTTATATAGTTAAATACTTATAGTAGTCTTTAAATAAAAGTTACTATATAGATAGATAATTAAAAGCTTTAATAGATATAGAGAAAACTTTAATTAAAACTTAAAGTATAGTCTACTAGTAATTAATTTATATAAGTTTAGAGTTAACTAATAATATTAATAACTCTATTTTCTTTAAATATATTTTAGATAATTTAATTAAGTCTTTTAAACTAATTAATTTTTACTATAATCTAGATTAATTACTTTAACTATCTAGACTACTATAAATTTTTTAATAGTAATAGTTAAAAAAATAGTATATATTAAAAGAACTCTTACTTAGTAATCTATTTACTATATTTACTTCTATATATTACTAAGTTTAACTAGTAAATAAAAAGCTAGTAGATTAACTAGTTTAAAGAGAGATAATTATAGAGTTTATAGAACTATACATTACTAAGATAAAGTAAAATAGCTTAAATTAAAGTCTATATTATAAACTATAAATCTTTAATAATATTATAACTAAAATAGTATAAAAAATATATAATTATAAAGTAAGCATTTTAATTATATTAAAGATACTAGCTCTTTATAGCTATTATTTTAAGTATTTAATTAGTAAGATATAACTAATAATAGTTACTAAGTTATAAGTAATTTATAAAGATAACTAGTTTCTTTACTAAAAGTTTTACTATATAGAATATAGTCTCTTACTAGTTAATTACTACTAAAAATACTACTAAATCTATATATAAGATTTTTAAATTCTAATTACTAAGTTAAGTAATTTAAAGTTTAGTCTTTATAAAATACTTAAAAAAATTAAATATAATTCTATATAATAAGCTTTAAACTTTCTATTAAAGTATTTTAGTCTATAGAGCTATAATAATAAACTTCTCTATAAACTACTTTATTTTTATTAACTCTTTATAGAACTTAATTATATAATATAAGACTAAATAATAGCTAAATTTTTAATTTTACTTTATAAAATATTAATTTAAAGAAAATAATAATAGATACTATTAACTTTAGTAAGTAAGAGATAGAGATACTAGAGAATAGTTTTATACTTTATCTAAGTACTTTATTTATAAAAAAGAAGATTACTATTCTTAAAAATACTCTTAAGTTAAGTAAAATAAGTATAAAGAGAACTTTAAATAAGAAATAGACTTAAGAGTTTTTAGGTTAATATAAGATAACTTAAAAAAGTAGAAAGATAAGTTCTATTAATATTTATATAATATTAAGAAGCTATAACTTAATAATTATAAGTAGACAAGCTTTTAAGATTTTATTTATAGATAATAATAGAATAAATAAATAGAAAAGTTAAGAGAAGAAGAGTATACTAGATATTTATAAAATAATACTCTTTTTTCTTTATTAGCTCTTTAGCTTTAACTATAATACTATAGATAGTACTCTAAATAATAGATTTAGAACCTTTAAATATATAGTACTCTCTCGAGAGTCTTTTACTCTTATAATATTACTTACACTTAAATATTAAATTTATTTAAATAATAAGAAAGACTAGACTTAAATAGCTATAGTTTTATAATACTTAATAGTATAAAATACTTTCTAGTTTTAGTTATCTACTCTAATATAGCTTAGATTATTTTAACTTATAAGTATATTTAATTCTCTAGCTTAGTATATCTCTATACTCTATAGAAGTTTCTAGAGTTAAGTATTTACTTTTATAGCTACTTTAATAAATAAAAATAATAAGTACTACTACTACTACTACTACTACTACTACTACTACTACTACTACTACTACTACTACTACTACTACTACTACTACTACTACTACTACTACTACTACTACTACTACTACTACTACTACTACTACTACTACTACTATTACTATACTACTACTTATACTCTTAGTTATTAGTAGTTATATAGCTTATAAATACTTTATTTATTATTTAAAAGAAACTATAATCTTAGAACTATTAAATAAGACTAGACTTCTAACTACTTCTAGTACTAGAAGTAGTTAATAGAAAATAAATAGTTAACTATATTATAGATAAGTAACTAAAAAAAGCTATTTAAACTTAATATACTAGATAAATAAATTAGATTTAATAAATAAATTAAGTTAGACTAGTATTAGCTTTATTAAAGAAGCTATATTAGATTATTAATATATTTACTTTCTATTACTATCTCTAGCTCTATTTTTTTTAGATACTACTATATTTAATTCCTTAATCTTTATTATTAGTAATACTACTAAGATTACTAGTATTACTAGTCTTACTATTATTAGTTATTTAAAGTAAATTACTTTAATTATTAATACTTTTATTACTTATACTATCTACTATACTTATATTTATTATAAGAAGATTAAATTAGAATTTTATATAATAAAAACTATATAACTTAATAATATATAATAAAGTATATATTTTACCTAACTAGGTTAAATCTAAAAGAAAAGCTATTCTCTTATATAAATAATAAGTTTAGTTATTAGTAAGCTTTAAAGCTAAACTAACTAATCTATAAGATAACTACCAATATCTTATCTATAACTATTAACTTATTAGATATTTATCTATATTTTACCTTTAACTATTAATCTAATAAATAACTACTAATACTAAACTTAGAAATTAATATATAAAGTAGTTTATTATATTAAATAGTACTATAGATATCTATATATAAGCTAAATTATAAAGAATTACTATAAATATTCTTCTATCTCTATTAAATAGAAATAATAAGAGAATATAGTTTAAGTTTAAACTTAAAAATTACTAGTTATATCTAATTAGATAATAAGTAATAAAAGAAAATAATATAAGTATTTATTTATATATATTAATAAAGCTAATACTTATCTCTTAATAGATTTATCTTATTTTAATTCTTATTTTAATTTATAAGAAATACTTATTTAAGTAATAAAAAACCTTATTTTTATATTATATACTAGTTATAGTTAAATATATTCTATTATATATAGTTTTTAATATAGTTTATATTAAGTATTATTAAATCTAACTATAGATTATATAATAAGTATTAGGTTAGAATATATCTATATTTGATAT